CCGTGTAAGCAGAACTACGATATCTGAGTAGTTAAAGATGAAGCGACGATAGAAATTGGCGAATCTGAGGAACAATTGAATATCCTTAACCTTCCAGGGTTCCGGCCAGTCACAGATAGTCTGGACTTTGTCGGAGGACATGGTAAGGCCGGCTGGAGATAGGAGGTAACTGAGGTATTCAACCGAGTCGGAATGGAATTCGCACTTTTCCGGTTTAGCATATAGCCGATGCTTCCGGAGGTGTCGGAGGACTTCAAGGACGTGTTGTTTATGGGATGCAAGGTCTGCGGAATAAATGAGGATGTCGTCGAGGTACACAATAACACATATGTCAAGCATATCGGTGAAGATGGTATTGACAAAACACTGGAAAGCCGCTGGAGCATTGGTGAGACCCTCGGGCATAACCAACCATTCATACGAGCCGTAGTGCATTTGGAAAGCAGTTTTCCACTTGTCTCCTTCCGCCATCTGGACTAGATGGTAAGCGGACCGGAGGTCGATTTTAGTGTAAACTTTAGCGCGGCTCGGAGAATCGAGGAGGTTGGAAATGAGGGGAAGCGGGTAGCGGTCTTTCTTTGTGATTTTATTGAGGCCTCGGAAATCTACACAGAGACGTAGGGAGCCGTCCTTCTTTTTGACGAACAGGACAGGGGCTCCGTGTGGAGAGGATGAGGAACGGAGAAGTCCGGTCACAATATTCTCATCTAGGAATTTGCGAAGAGCTGCAAGCTCAACCGGAGAAAGGGAATAAATGGTGCCAAGGGGCAGAGCTGCTCCTTCTTCCAAATCGATCTTAAGATCATAGGGACGATGGGGAGGGAGCTGTCTGGCTTTGCCCTTATCAAAGACATCTGCATACTCGTGATATTCCGAAGGGATTCCAGATAGGTTCAGAGGTTCGGAGGAGAGTGTAGCGGAGCAGAGATTGACACCGGTGGGTCGGATGAAAATACTGAACTGGACCGATCCCTCTAATTTGCAGGCCCAGCAAAAGGCAACTGCATTGATTAGGGAAATATTGGGAACAGCGCTATTAGCAGAGGGACTCGGCAGAGTTGTGGAAGGGGTTTCCACTGGAGCTGGCGGAAATGAGGTCGGAGGGGGTGAAGGCACTCCATGAGGAATCAGACGGAAATCAATGCTGCCCTTTACCCAGTCAATCAACAGATTGTGTTGGGTGAGCCAGCTATATCCTAGAACGATGGAACAGGATGAGTCCAACGGAGTAACATAAAATGTTTCGGAGGTAACCACACCAGTCGGAAAACAGATCGGTAAATCTACTGCCTCAGTAATAGTGGCATTAGAAGTACCATGAAACAGATGGAGCAGAAGCGGAGGGATTGCATAGGTCGGAATGTTATTTTCTCGGATTAGTTTGCTTTCTATAAAACAATGAGAGGAACCACAATCTACAAGAGCCGGGAATGGAGAGATATTGGGAAAAGTAGAAATGGAAACATATGGTACTAGAGAGTTCGGATCGGAAAAGGAAATAGCATTGAGGCATAGCTCCATTGCAAGGGTTGAGTCAACACAACCCTCATCCCACGCGGAGTCAAGAGGGTTGTGGACTAATTTTTTGTCTCTTCCGAGACCTACGGTTTGGCTTCCGGAGTCACTGTGCTGGCACGACCTTTGGCTGCACAGGAAGTGGACTTTAGGCAGTCCCGGGCAGTATGACCGGGTCCGCCGCAGAAGAGGCAGAGCTTCTTTTCCATGCACCTCTGGCGCTCCTTGGAGGTGAGTTTACCATCTTTTCCGAGCTTGGACATCAAGTCCGGAAGTTTGGCGGAGGAGGAAGCCGAAGTGTTTCCGGATTTTCCGCCGGAGTATTCTTTCCGGTTGGAGGTGGAAGCTGACTGCTTAGCAGGAGGGGTGGATGCGGAGGGTTTGGTTTCGCGGGAGACTTCTCCCTTGCGTTCCCAGTATCGAGCGTCGATAGTCTGGGCGAGAGTTTTGTATTGGGAAAGAGTGGTGGGTTTTCCTTGACAACTGATTTCGTCTTTGATGCAAGCCGGAAGTCCATTGTAGAACTGACGGTGCAAAGCTCTGTCGCCCCAACCTCGGACTTGGGAAGCTAGCCGTTGGAACTCTACAACATACTTGTTGATGCGCTGTCTGTCGCGCATATAGAGCTGTTCCAGCTGCATTTCCGCATCTCTGACCGGGTCATGAGGTCCGAAGTTAGTTTGGAGTTCTAACATGAACTCGGAGTAGTCATCCATCCAGTCTGGACGATCTGTGAGATCATCCGAAAGGAGGTCCGGCTCAAACCATTCAAGAGCCATGCCCTTGAGGTATGACTGCATGAAGTTGACCTTGGTGCGGCTGGTGTGGAAAGACTGTGGCTTAGCTTGGAAGTTAAGCTCACATTGGACAAAGAACACCCGGAGCTTCCGGGGCTCAGTGCCATTGAAGGTGTCCAGTTCTTGGACTTTGATTTTAGAGTCGTCAGGGATGGCGGACTGGCGGTTGTTATGCACCAGGTTATTGATTGCCTGAGAAAGGCGGAGGAAGACCAGGTCTTGTGGACTGAGACCTTTGTTTTCATCGTCAGTCAGGTCTTCTGGAGGTTCATTGTCCGGTGTAGGACTCATAGTCCTTGTAGCCTCATAGAGGCTATTTTTGCAGTGTCCCTCAGGTTCTAGCGCAGCATGCGCTATCACTACCACGGCGCGCATCCCTCCTATCGTCGGCCGACGGCCGCGGCTCACACGCGCACTTCAGTTCGCATCCGCTTTTCGTCGGTTCCATCGCATGTCCTTCCCCCATCCTATCCATGTCCTCCGCTTGTCCATTGGTGTGTATTTTATCTCATTCGCATTAGACTGATTATATTCCCGAAGGTGATATCGTGTATGTTTCGTTACTTGCATTATAGACCCTTAATATGTATTACCGTTATCTTCTCGGTTCCGAACAGCGCTACGCACACTACCATATATACTTTAGACTTAGGAACTTTCATGTATCTCTTCTTTTCCCGCTATCGAAATTATCATCCGTTTGCATGCAACACTTAGACTCTAAGTCTAAAAACCTTTGGCCGACTACATCGCACGCTGTATTAACAGTCGCGCTATCATTCACACATCGCTCATTGCATCTATTGTCAGAACTCTCCTCCCCCTTTATTGTCGCATCACATCTCCTTCGCATATCCGCTAGATGTGCGTTCATATAAACCATCGGCTTTTCTCCGCATCTTCGTGCTCCGTCAAACTTTCGGCGGCTCGGTCGCACATCGTATCGCACCTTTGGCGGCTCGGTCGCATCGCGTCAAGCGCAATGTCGCACGCTCTTCCATTCTCAGTTACTCTTACCAGTTTCTAAGTTTCCCCTCCATATTTTACTTAGAGGAATCGTTCTCAGTAGCAATCCCCTTGGGCCAAAACTATACTCGTGTCCAGAGGTCTATTTGAGTTTTACCCCACTTCACCCTTTCTCCCCCTTTCACCCCTTCTCATCTAGCTATCATTCCTCACACACACCGGGTCACCTCCCCCATCATCCAGCGGATCTCTGCCCGGAGTATCTTTGTTTTCCGGTAGAAATCCGGCCGGTGTGCGAGTTGGGGTTTCTGGGTGTGGACAATTCATGAGTTGAGAGATGCTGGATGCAGCGCCCTGTGCACTAGCGCAACACTGTGAGAAGCTAGTGAATGCATCAACTATGGGAGTAGAGTCACATCGGGCGGTTACTAAGCCCGCCACGCAGAGGTTGGTCTGAGTGGTTGTCGGTGCCATGAATATAGTTGTAAGTATACTCGGTAAGGTGTGAGTTTGAATATACTGTTAAGAACGTGCTCAAGGGTCTAATCCAAAGGGCTTGGCTTCAGTTTGTGCACTGCGCCCCTTACCCGAGTACGTGCCCCTAACTTCCGAAGGCTGTTGAACAATGTCCGAAGGTTGTCGGACGAGTCCGGAGTCCGATGTCCGATGTGCGGGAATTCTGGCGGACGTTCAGGAACGAGGGATAAGACTAATCTGGTGTAGGTGAGGAATGTAGAATGATAGAAAGTGGGTGGTATGAGATATACTCAGATGGTCCTCTGTGCGCGAATCTAATGTCAGCCCAAGGGGATTGCTACTGAGAAGGTTCCTCTATATATAATAGTGGAGGGAAACACTGAACCGGGCTGTCGGATAAGCCTGGTGGGGCGCGCGACGATGAGTGAAGCGCAATAAGCGAAAGTGCTATGGAGTGCTACTGAGCGACAAGTGCGATGGCGCGCGCTGAGTGAGAGCGAAGCGCACGTGCAGGTGGTGGAGCGCAGCAACTCTTAAGTAAGTCGGGAAACAAGTAAGACGATGTTCGTGTATAAGAATATGCGGATTGGCGCTCATGTGAGTTCTGGCGCTTAGCGTCGGTCGGCGGATATGACAGAGATTTAGACTTAGAGTCCAATGATGTGCGGGAAGAAGAAGATATCATTATACATTGAGGCATGAGTATATATATTCTAAGTATCGTTAAGCGCTGTCAAGCGCTAAAGCGAGCCAGAAAGTGAAGCGAGTACATGATGATATGTAAGTAAGGGTCCGTGACGAAACATACGGAATATGTGCGCAAGTGCCGGAGATATGTCAGAATACATGAGAATTAAGATAGGAATACGCACTGACGAACCAAACGGACATGGAATGGATGGATGGAGGACGAGCAACGGAACCAAGGATACATACACCGATGCGCGACCGAAGCACCTGAATGCGCGAGCGGCCGACGAAGCGCCAAGTGCGCTGAAATGGGATATGGGTCGCACTGTGTTTGGAAGGTGTTTAGGGCGTTGTAGAATTAGCTCTCTATGAGGCCACAGAGATGTCAGTCTCTACACCAGACGATGTCCAAACTAGAAAAGAAACAGCGGAGGACTACCAGAGGTAGAGGTGGAGGTGAGAAGTCTATAGGAGTCGATCCTAAGACTAACGGAGGACGACGAGAGGAGAAACTGGGGTAGATACTGTGATAGGAATGTGCATTTTTGTGGTGCTTCATATCTGATAGGGGTGACATGATTGTACATGATGCTGTACATCTGAAAATAAGTAGGGCCAGGAGAACCTAAACTGAATTGTCTCCCATGTTGCAGCTTCTCCTCTATGTCCAAGTTCTTTATGTGCCTGATTCAGAATAGTTGCACACTTTTCCAGATCAAAGATTACCAATAGGGGTGGTCTAGCCTGCATTCTCTTATACATTCTTCCATTCTGTACAAAGAACTTGACAACTTTCTTCAGAAACCTTTTCTTTGCTGAAATACTTTTGAATGACGGTGTCTCTAGGGTAGTCAGAAATTTGTAAACATCCTTTAGGTTCTATTCCTGAAAACTGGTTCCCATAAATACTATAGGAAGAGATATTGCTTTTCGTTGTGGTGATACTGTGGCTTGGAAACAAGCTTGGAAAATTCCACTATATAGTGCCAACTTATCTAACCATAAATCATCCTGCAAGTCAATACTTTCTCTTTCTTCTAAACCTCTTCTTGATAATGCATCTGGTCCTTTGAATTTGGTGGCAGGTACATGAATGAGTGTGAAATCAAATAAAAGTATTCCTTGAATCCACCAATTAATGGCTGCATTTGATTGAAGGTCAGGCTTATTTAGCATCCCTTTGAAGTACTTGGCATCAACTTCTACATGGAGAACTTTCACACCTATGATATATAGATGGAAATGATGAAGTGCTCATCAATTTTAGATTCATTACATACATTTATATAGGGGTTGACATCAGGTACCAAATGAAACTTCTACCAAAAAATATGATTTCATACGTCAGAATTACACAGAAGCTAAAAACAAGAATGATCATGTGATATAAGTAGGACATTAAATCAGGACATTCAAAATTCAAACTCATCATATATATGTATGTATACAGAAAAAACATGAAAGTCACAACATTGTAACAAATGAAAAGGGAAAAATGAGAGTATTTATTCTGTCGTTGTCTGCAAGTGTGAAGTACCTGAAAAAGCAGAAAAGACCTACAGCCAATCACAAAAATACAATCTCTTCATACATGAAAAGGGACTTTGTTACAGTCATCTGCAACATCTACAGGAGCCCCTGCTCTGCTAGACTCCCAACATGGCGGAACACCACTAGAACTTAGAACGACAGCGGTCTGGACCACTGTGACACCGCCCCTGGCCTAGAAGGCCTTGTACCTGATCGTCTGAGGCTATACACCTCATGTACACCTAGACCGGCGCATGTTTGCTCATGTCACCTCATGAAGATCCGGAGCACCCTTGGCGCCTCATGCTTGATCAGAGGTTAAGCCTCATGTGTCTTATCTGATCCTCATGGTTGACCTCATGTACCGTTATCTCTGATACCAGAGATCCAGAGATACAGACTGAGCTTGAACCCTTGTATATTGACATATATAAGTAGACAGATTATTGTATTAGTTCTTTACTTTAATCTACTAGGTAGATCCCCAGAACTAGGTCTTTAGCTTGTCCAATCAACTCGCTTCCTTGAAAACCTTGACTGCACTTCTAAGTTGCTCCCTGCGCCTTAGCTGTATTCTCACTAGCCCTTCCCCTCGACAAGGCCTGTTGTCCTTACCAAGGAAGACGGAGAGACCTGTAGACTTATGTCTACCTGTAAGATACCCTCGACACACTTCGTGCGATGGCACATTCGTGCCAGTGTTGAGAAGACTTATCCTAGTCATAAAAGACTTAGCTGATGGGCAGAGCTGATGGAAAAATGTGGTGTGATTCACACTGGCCGGAATGCATTGGACTCCATCGACAACAATGAGGAGGATCTGTTCCTGTGAGTATTCTGGAGTGGAGGCATGACTTGCCTCAAGGAATGTGAAGGTTGTAAGTTGATGTGTCATAGTGATAGATGGCGCTGAGATGGGTAGTGTGGAAAGTGGCTTTCTCTAGCCCGAGCTCCTGAACCTACTATGAAGCCATGGTACCAGCGAGAAACTTTGCCAGGGCAGTAAGACATTGGATAGATAGTTTATCAAAGTGGCCATAAAAAGGGAGGAGTTCATAGGTTAGTTTGCAGTAGCAAAGGTCGAAGGGAGATGGTGCAAGCCAGTTGAAAAGGCCATTGTTGTCTAGTTCCTCAAGCACATCAGTTATCCAGGTAAAGATGAGAGACAGAATAAGCTGGGGGATAAACTTACAGGTCCATGTATCTGTTGTCTTCTGACTTGAGGTGTCTTATATAAAAGTAGTCAAAAGACAATGATACCACAATTACACTTTTGATAAGACTAGATGCTGCCAAACAACCTCAAGTTTGTGGTCTACAACTTTTCTTCTTTCATGGTAGATAACATGTCATTCATGGGAGGTTATCTGCTTATACAGCCCGGTGGTGTGATTCTACCTAGAATAGTAGATGTTCTACAAGAGAAATACAACTTTATCTGGTAAGACAGATAATGTAGACTTTGTAGAGGAATATCTAGCCTTTCCTATGGCTAGATGGAAAATGCTTGATACGAATAAGTTTCTCTAGTCTTTTTGTTGACTAGACAGATAAGTGAAGTGATGTGCATACTGTTGTGCAACTGGTTGAAATTGGTTGTAGCAGATATTGCTGGAATTTCCCCCACCTTAATGTGAAAGGACTTGTTGATGGGAAATAGAAAGATTTGTATAACCATGCGATACAAATCAAAGATGCTGGTTTGGACTCCCTTGAAGTAAAGTACAAAGAATGTATCCAAAATAATAGGATGATAGTGTATAACCAACCATGTGTTATACAACTAAAATAATACAATGGATACGTACAACTATGAGTTATACAACTAGAAATATGTATGCAGATAATCCAACAAAGGAATCTGCAGGCACAGATAAAATGGCTTGACTTGATACTCCTAGTCCTCTGAAACATATATCAGATGCACACTAGACAGTGTAGGTATAGTCAAGAAAAGAGTAAAATAATCTTAGAGCAAGTCTAGTTACTTGGTCTGCACTTTCTGGCTAACACAAGAGTGTCTGTCAGAGAAAGTGGAAGAATGTGAGGGGGGATTTCCTTCAGATATTTGACAGGAAAATGAATTCTTGTATTTTTGGGTGGAGATTGGCTTTCCTTTTACATGTGAGATGGGAGAAACTGTATAGTACCAAGAAATAAAATTGAAAAAAGAAATGACATCAGAATTGCATCATAAATGACCTCATTGCAGAGCAATGTGGAGCAAAAGTGGAGCCAAGTAAAGCTAGGTGGAGCAGAACATTCTAGCATCCAATGACATCACTATGATATCATGGGTGATATCAGAGAAATCAACAGAATAGGCCAGAACTATCTGTGGAGCCATATGACATCATACCCTGTAGGTACATTTTATGAGGCATCTGGGATGTCAATGAAATATATAGGTAAAGAAACAAAAGAAAAACATAGAGAAAATAAAGTAGGAATAATCATAAAACAAAACAAAACATGGACTTTTGTGATAGGGTTTTTGTAAGGTTTTAACTTTTCTCCTTGGTTATTTGTAGTCAAAGTAAATAAGCCAAAAGTTAGGTAATAACCTGAGCTTTTATGCGCCTATTACTTGGACTATGTCAATATATGATTTCTCCATCATATTTAACTTTTCTTCAAAACACTGTACTTTTGTGTGATTAGAATACACAAAGCTTTCTGTTGCACTTGAGTCTATACTCAGAGTATATTTTTGTGTAGTCTGAGGATAAGGCTAACAGACTATAAATATGTGGGATAATATGTCATATATGTGTTCTGCATGATTCCCATATCATGCAGGACACCATGATGTCTTCAGCAAGTTTCTAGATATGCACAAAGTGCATTTGGGCAATGCGCAGGTTAGGACAGTTAGCAATGGGAGTGGGCATGGTACTCTCCTCGTCATCAGCACAGGACAAGAAAAGCTTGCTCATGTCGATAAGCCTACCATTAGATGATTTATCGTCTGCACCATACTTATTGCATCTGTCACAACCGAACACTGTGGAGCTGTTTGTAAGGGCAATAAGCCAGGTCTTCACAACCAGGGCTTGGTGAAAGAGGGCATCTTCCAAAGAAGTGGAAGCATTGGCAGGTATCTGGGTGAGAGAGTTGTTAGGCAGTGGGCAGCAGATAGTATGTATGTAGACATACCTTAGGTGGTGTAGGGAGGGTGTGCTCACCTGATGCACTTTTCCTTCTATTTTCATAGTGGTCTGTTGTCAATACATCCTTCTCTTCTGTATCTCTCTCTAAAGTCTGGTGGGACAGGGTTTCATCGTGAAAGTTGGTAAAGTTGGAGGTGGTATGCTCTGGCATCTTGAGGTCATAAGTTAGCGGTGGGATTAACTCACCCAACGAGTTCTTGATGAGAGGTAGTAGTTGAATATCAGTGCATTCAGCAGATTCAGGAAATGAAATCTGCACCAGGTCCGATAATCTGGACATATGAAATATATTGTCAGGGGACATATAAGTGAAGTTGTTGAAGTCGACAGCAGGGAGGGGAACAGATGACTGGCGCATATGGTTCTTGATGTTTGCACTGTAAGTCTCCAAAAATGGGCCAGTTATAAGACATCGGGCAAAGGCAAGGGGAATTGGGGAGAAAATCTGCCTTACATCAATAGGAAATTCAAATGCAGGTATTAATATATTTCTGCATTGGGAAATTATATCTTGCACAGCAAAGTGCACATGTACTACTATATTTGGCATGAAGTCCACAATGTTCCTAGCCTTGCCTTGAAGATTAGCAAACTGAGATCCATTAAGAACTAAATAGTCTACCTCATGGTTTCCATTTACCAAATGAGTGTGCTGGATATTGGCAGTGTGCTGGAAGGCATGGTGCACTGAATTATTCATTAACTGCTTTACTGTAGGGCCAGCATAGTCAGTTATGGCTGGATTTGGCTGGAAGAGTGTGATAGAATGTATGGGGGGCATGATTGACTTGATTTCTGTGAGTTCCCCTATTTCTTGACTTGCTTTTATATTTTTATTATTATACCAACCCTTAAATTTTCCATAATAGATTGTATGGTATATTGACTTAATTCAATACTACTACTGTATACTGCTGAGTGAGGTTGACATGCTATATTTCCCTGCAAGTTATTCAAAACACTTGCACATTTTGGTGCCACTTCTAATACATCTGGTATGATGTAAGTACTATTTTTAGGTATCATTTGCTGCGAAGTATTGATAACAGAAATTTCTAGCTTTTCACACTGGTCTCCCAGTTCTTTTCATTTTTGGAAGGCACCACTAACACTTCAGATATCTAATCATTTATAGGACTATTTCCAAATTCTAGCCAAGTACCTGTAGGTCATTCATGTATAGATACTACATCATGTATTTGCCATGACTGTCCCAATAAAATATCAAATGAGACTGAGTCCCCTACATAAATTTTAGCTGTTTTAAGTATAGCACCAATATTAACAGGTATCTGAGATACAAGTCTTTTTAGGTGGCCTCTCCCACTGTTTGCATCATGTAATACTAGGGTCTTGTTCCAGTTGATCAGAAGTTTGATAAATTTCTCATATATATGTTCAGATACTATATTTAGCTGACTTCTGGTATCTATTACTGCTTTGAGACTATTCCTGTGGATTTTGATCACTAATTCTATTAATACTTCTTTTTCCCTTGCTTTGGAACTTCCCATAACTCAAAAACCTTCAGCCATTCTCTCATTCCCTTCACTCAGATTGTATACTAGGTGAGTGTCTTTTCTTACTATTGTTCTGGGCTTAATTGATTCAGCCAATAGGCCTGATAACTCCTTTGACATGTCTAATATTTCTCCCACAGTAAGTGCAACTAGTATATCTAGAAATTGGTTTAATACTGATTTGGCATCGGGTCCATCAGCAATTTCTGATCTTCAGATTCCTGATCGGGTATCAATCACATGATCTGTTGCCTTATGACTTAGGTCTTTTTACTTTGGTATATCTTTTCCTTTCTCTTGTGTCTTTCTCTCTGGTCCTCTGACTTTTGATTTTTGTAGCACCTCATCCTCCATGATGACATTGTTGTCCTACATGTCGTACCAGGCCCTTTTGGCAGCCACCTGCATTGAAGCCATTCTGTCCCTGAAAGTTACTCTCCCTCTAGTGTATCCTTTATTTTTTTTCTTTCTCTTTCTATATTTTCCATTGGTTTTGCAGGTAAGGTCTCTTCTTTCTTCCCTAGGGGATTCTTACTGATTCTAATACTCACTTAGGGTCAGCTAGCTTGAATTCCTGAGGCTCAGGAATTGGTACTCTGTTCAATGCTGAATGTTTGATCATCAGAGCTACAGGAGTCTTAGGGTTTGGCACTTGTGCAGGAGATACTTTTATTCCAGGTCCATATCCTCTTTCTCTCCTTAATTCATGATGCTAATACTGCTCTTTTTTGATTTCCTCTCATGTGTCTTGTCCTTTCAACAGATAGACACCATTGAATATTTCATTCCACTTCTGTGTTCTGTCCTTTGAGGTTCTGTATACCAGGTACATTTTTAATTCTTCTTCCTCACTCTCTTCATCATTAACATATCCCAATGCTAAACAGTATTCCCACTCATCTGTTTCACTTGTCAGATCACCTTCACTCTCCCATGATGTTATAAAGTGCATTTGTACTACTGTTTCCAATTTTCATACATCAGAAAACCTAGATTTTTCCTGATTTATCTGTAGGACCTGATACAAGGACATTCAGTACCACAAATATAAGAATAATACTTGAATCAATTATCATATTTTTAAGATAAATTTTAAAAACTATATCTTTAACTCTTACTTATGAATTGGACCATTATAAATCAGCTCTACTATCTGCTGGATCTCATATTAATTATTAAAGAAGATGTTTCTATTAAAATATAGGCTATCTTTAGACCTTAACAGGCATATTTTATCCTTGTAACTAATAGCACATTTTATTGAAAAAGTATGTAAGTGAAAGACACTGAAAAAAAAATATCACTTACTATAGTAGCTGTTGCTATTCACCTAGGTATGAGCATTATATTATGGTAATCTATAACTTTATTATATTACTCCAAAGTGGAAACTTTGAGTTATTGCAAAAGTTTTCAGCTGATAATTAGCTTAGTTTATATATTCTTCTTTATATATTCTTTTATACTAATGATCTTTGCTAATATAAGCATTTCAGAAACTATCTAGGCATTATTCTGGTGAACTTAGCAATATTAAGAGAATTAGTTTTACTGCCACAACAGTTTCATAGATCTTCTTCTACTAATACAAGTTGATAACTTATTACCATAATTGAATTTTCTCATTATTCATAATGGAAACTTTATAAACTTATATTAATGCTTGATTTATCAAATGAATGCAAAACCTTATTACTTCATATATTGTTTAAGCTAACTAGAGCTTAAGGCTCATAACTCATACAGTAAAGGAAGCTAGTATACATGAAGCTAGTATAAGATGCTATAAAATAAGATAGATAAAATATATATTTTAGTAGAGTTATGTTGACCTCTAAGACAAGTTTCATGCTTCTTCCAAAGTGAAAAGAGTAATGGTCTTTCAAGACCTATATATACTTGTTGAGGTACAAGGTCTCTGTAAGATAATTTAAAAATATTTGATTCATTCAATCTGCTCTATCTGCAAAGGTTTAGAAATTACAGAGAAGAAATCAAAGATAGTAGCTTCATTCTGAAGGAGATGGATAAGTATGATTATGATGCAGACTGTATAATATATTAGCAATAATAGATCAGATAGTAGACAGAACAAAGTTATACTATGATTTAGTGTAATAGATCATGAAATCTATGTCATCCATGTAGATTATAGTAGAATATTATAGATATTTTTACAATAGGTTATGTCATATAGTTCTTTTAGATAATACTCCTGTTTTATCTTTATTTCTTAGAAAGATACTATGACAGTAATATCAGTAATAAAACAATATAAACTTTTTTTCCATCTTAACCTACATACTCTAGCATCTAGTTATTGACTATAAGTTCATACATCTGCCTAAACATATATCACTATTGATCAAATGTTGGATCTATCCATATTTGGGGTAAAAGCTATGGTACATATCATCATTTTTAATTTCTTTTTGTATCAAAGGTTAAGATTATAAGCTTGGTATTTCTAGCCTCCTACAGCTTGCTGTAATAGACTATACTTGTATTAAAATACAAAGCATTCTGCTTCTACTTGTAAGTAGAAGAATATAAGCATGTATTTTTCATTGTCTAGATATTATTTCAAAGTACAAACCAGCCAACTTAAAGACTACTTTGCTGCAATAGTGTTAAGACCGTGCACAAAGGGTAGGACTGATTCCGAAGGGCTTGGTTTCAGCTCGTGCACTGCGCCCCTTACCCGAGTATGTGCCCTTAATTGCAGATGACATCCGGAGGAAGTCCAAGGAAGTCCATAGGACTTCCGAAGGAGCGCGGGAAAGTCCGGATCTGGATGAGTGCGAGAAACTTCCGGAGAGGTGCGGGAAAGTTCTGGAGGAACTTCTGGAAATTACTATGAGGTTTCGTCCTGGTACAGATATGTGTAATGGCTACTCAGGATGAATCCTGAGTAGAATGGAGACAGAGGAAAGGCTGCAGGGACAAAGTCCGAAGCAGAATAGGTCCGGAGAGGTGCAGGAAAGTTCCGGAGGAACTTCCAGAAACTCAGAGGAGTGTAGGATCAGAGGAGCAGAGGAGTGGAGGAGCGGAGCTCCGGCCTAGGGAATTCCTCCCTAGGCTTGAGATGGATATTGACTAAGTCGGAGGACTAGAACTAGTATGAGGACTTAGTGTGAGATCTAGTGCGAGGACTAATATGTGTAATATTCAGACTAAGGAAATACAGGAGTTTCTACAGGGTTTATATACTATGGAGGACATAACGGAGAATCAGTCAGCGCAGTCCAAAGCTATGCGAGGCTGTGGATGGAGCGTATAGAAAAGTCAAACACTAGTCTATTGGAAAATAGTAAATGAAGACGGAAATGAGAACATAGGAAAATAAAGGCGGAAATGAACTGAGGTACGGAAAATGAATATAGTCTAACTCAAGAAGGAACATACAAAGGGAAAAGGCACGGAAGATAGACGCGGGTCGGATCCAGATGTCCGGATGTCCGGAGATGTTCAGATGTCCGGAGACAGGTGATTACCATAAGGGGATGAGCACTGATTTAAGATTTGGGTTTGGATATGAAGCATAGGTCAGATCTGGAGATCCTGGCAAATGGATATCAGATTGAGTGTCCGGGTTTCGGATCTGGATGTGTGGATATGCAAAGGTACAGGGATCCGGGTGTACAGGCATCTTGACAGATAAAGGACATGGACAGGGGGTCCAGAGGTCCGGATGAGGCGTGGGAACATTGTCAGATGTAGGTCCGGAATACGGGATATGACAAATAGGGTGGACAGAAATAATATAGATTCCAATCTCCGAATGGTTTGCTAATAATCTAATCTTAGTAAGATCCTTGACCTTAATGCCTAATGACTTAATGAAGGGCTTTAGATATTAAGGAGATATGGTATCAGTTAAGAGAGTGATTTGTGTCATTATCTTACTAAATTGCTTTGTCAAAACTTTCTATTTTCTATCATAATTGCGATGAAAATATCATGAGATTCATTCACACTTCATTAAACCTTGATCTAAGAAGGGACACCAGTACACTATCAAATATTAATAAGCAGCTATAAAGGGCAATATCAGCATTTGTATATAGTCAATCTCCTGAATGAACAATATTTAACCTGACTACAAGAAATCTGAGCATTATCTGATGTCTTTGGAGCAAGAGTAATTGTGACATCATGGTCTAACAGCAATAATTTGGGCATACTGCTCTTTAAGCAATATAATAAAATGTAATATTATTATTACACTTTCATCTGATACAGAGAGAACCATCTAAGATATATTTTCTTCCTCCTATCTTCATAATAACTATGAGTTCATTTTATTATAACTGCAATTACTACCATTCATACCAAGCCAGACCAGGGCACTTGTGTGTCGAAATGTGAATGAACATACATACATATGTGCCACAGCTATTGTACTCCTATCTCATTTGGCTCAATTGTGTGCTTAGACAATTCAACCTCCTGTTACTAGTACTATGTTGGGCAGATTTTAAAGGTAGTGGCTCACTATAAAAATGTTCTTATCATCAACATCACCACGACACTAGTGACCCATACATTCCGCCACCAATGGCATTTGCCTTACCCTGCCTACTGGCATCATTTCCCTTCCCAAACATCTTTGCTTTGTATGCTGGTGCAAGAAGTGTATCAAGAATCTCACAACATTCAAGACCACAGATTCAGACATGCTAATGCAGTCTCTTAAGGAACTGAATGAGTTGTTTAAGGGAAGTGAGAGTTTTGAGAACAGCACAGATGATCTTAGAGGTGACATTCATCCTCAACAATGACTCAGACTAAATCTCATGCATGTCAGGTGACTGTGAAAAATAGTTCTTGTATGGGTTACCCTGTGGGAACTTCCTTAAAAACCCTAAATATAAAGTGTCATATCATGTCTACGTTCAATAAAGTAATATCAGAACAGAGTACAGAAATCATAAACTTTTCTTTACATTATATAATTAGCTAGTCACATAACTTTTGCCACATGACTCTAGTATTTAGCCTTGAAGGTCAGCTGACTTATGATTCACACCAAGTCATGACAAAGCAACCTCTTAAGATGACCAAAAGACTGATGACACAAATTATAATACAAACGACTCATACAAATAGTTATTGGTACAGTCTGACTAAGTGTTACGCACTCAAATAGATCTGTTATATGGAGCCCTAAGAGGGGTGTCGTCCGCTAACGTTCATGATGTAACCGGAAGGATCCTGGTATAGCAAGTGAGACTGGCGACGACGAGTCGGCAGTGATCACAGTACGTGCGTGTCACGTGACTTCTAAGATGGATGTCTATGAAGTCGCTCAAAGTAAGGACAGTCTTGTCCGAACGATGAGGTCGATCGAGGTAGACTTAGTCACGAGGAGCGGCTAAGAAAAGATACTAGAGACTGAAGCTGAGGGGGCTTCAGAGAGAAGTATGTTCCAGGGAAGATTGAGTAGATTCAAGTTAGAGAATCTAGTACAGGGTGACCGACTACTTATACTAAGTGGAGAGGGTTAAGGGCAAGGCTACCGCACAGTAGGTAAGGGTAAAGGGGAAACGAGAATGGTATAGGTGCGTTGGCAACAGAGCCGGATTAGTGATGGATGGTCGAATGTGGAATGAGACTGAGAAACGTTGGAACGGACCAACGGTAAGAATACAATGTGCAGGAATCCGCAGTCAGAAGGGAACAGAAAGGGAAAGCCACATTGGTGGCATGAGTCAGACCGAGTCATAGGTGCAGGACCACATTGGTGGTCGAATTATAGGGAGGAGCGTGCGTGCACGTGCATAGAGGCGGACTATGCGAGGGATGGGAACGGTCCCGAGGATCTGGTCAATGGAAAGTTGGTAAAGGAGGGTGAGCTGGTAGAGGGTGAGGGCTGAGGATGAGGGGAAAATGATAGGGGGGCCACGTGACCAATGTTACTTGTAACACTAAGCCTATTTCCCTTAGAATGCCTACTTTTTGCCCATAAAAATAGAAGCCCAGAGGGAACTTTTACCCCCACAAAAGTAAAATTGAGTGTGAAGTATGATCAGTGTCAATAACAGTGACAAGAGCTGTTAAGCAACTACCTGAGAGGTCATTATGAGCAACATCCAGCAATGCCCTTAGCTTATCACCAACAACTGTGAATACCTTGAGCTCACTGTGCTCAACAGTGAGCTATTTTTTTTTTCTTCTCTCTTTTTTTTTTCTCTCTTTCATTTTTCTCTTTTTCTTTTCAGGTTCATTCAAGTCTTAGTGTTCTTGTTCTGAATTTATTTCAGGATCTTTGTGTTGTTTTTATGTCCATCTAAGCAAAGGCTTAGTGGAAAGACTTTAGATGTTGATAGTGACACTTGACCTCACTCATCTGAGTAGTGATACTAAGCTAGGGTCTTCTTTGCCTGCTAGACTTTAGTTATTGAATAGGGGACTTGGTACTAAAAGCCAAGGACATCTGTTCTTGATTCTGTTTAATACTCATCATAAGTTTCTTGGCAGCAGGTTCAATAGTGAGCTAAGAGTTCTACTGAGCATTGATTAGTCCTGACCTTTGATTCTACCTGTTTGTGCTGAGGGGGTGATTGTTATAACTTCACATGACTTTCTGTAGTAAATTTATTATAAAAACATTATTACTAAAGAAAGAGTTTCTCTTATCATTCTGTTCTTTTTTTCATCAGCACTATACTGTTGGACTGACTAGTTTTTTTTTCAACCTTCTGTTATCAGTTTTATAAATTATTGCCATACTGTTGGTTTTTTTTCCAATGCATACTGTTGGATCGACTGGTGTTGTTACTGACCTTATAGAAGTGCTTTTGTCTGAACATAGCTTGGGGAAGTGTAAACAGCCACTCATGAACAACCACATTATCAGTCATTGGTATTTGTCTGAATCGCTGACCATGGAGATATTTGTTTTTATAGGTGTTTATCTATAGATCATCTATCTAAGAAGATATTACTGGAGTCCACCACAAGGGTGGTATTTTTCAAAATTTAGCCAAACCAAGCATATTCAGACTAGCCTTGTCATCATATTGACTCATACTTTCATATCATCACTTATCATATATTGTTACCATGAGTACCCAACCAACAAACCTAGCACCTGTTTTGTCCTAATGGTAAAAGTATAATAAGAGGATCACTAGGGTACTTTGCCAACCTAGGAAGATAAAATTAGATTGCTTCTCATAAAATACTAGGTTTGAAGAAGGATCCAAAAATACCAAGCATTCCTAGTGTTCAGCACAAAAAGAGATACTTTTAGAAAAGAACTGTCTATGACTGAAGTTATTATATTTGTATAATAGAGATTTAAAATAAGCTAGCAGTGAGGTCTGCAATTCTACACCTTTGTAACAAATATGAATAATTGAATTAATATTAAATACACTAAAGTCCAAATAGTAATTTAAAAACAATTAAGAACCTTATGCAACAAGCCTAGCCTCTTACATAGGATGGGAGATAGACTAAACTACAAATTTGAATGTTGTAAAGAGCTACAGAGAAGTTGAGATCTAAGATTAATTGGACTTTGAAAAAAAATGTTAATATTCTAAGATTTCAATGATATCATGGATATGAGAACAAAAGTTTGAAATCCAGAAACATAGTGAGTTCTAAAATAGAAGACAATAACTCAAAGAAAAGATAGAGAGGTAGCTCAGTAATAGAGGGCTAGATAATCTCTCATATGTTCCTTATCACTCTCTCTATATAATTGATATAATATAAATTACATATCATGCATGACACCAGTCTACTACATTATATTGCTGACTACTGTATTTTTGTCATTGCCAAAAATACTCTATTCTAGATGCCAAAATATTCATACACTTTGATAAACCTCTTAGCAGTAAAGACATCTTGCATGTTTTTCAAGCTTACACCACTAAGTACATCCATATGCCTATTGGCTTGATGATGTGACAACAGATGATGAAGGCCCTTATGTATCACATAGTAAATATTAACATTCATGATAATGAAGAATAGGGGGAGGATGCCTTTGATAAAATTTTGGACACACTACTGGCACTGGCAGATAATACTATGGACTGACCTAGAATGACCTTCCTTTGTTTCATGAAAATATGTTCAATTTATTTCAGATATTGAAAAAAAATTGAAGGTGGCTGGATCAACTGAGTACCAACCTCTCATCCTAAAATATCCTATATAGACATCTATAAGATAATGTCTATCACTCTCAGAAACCTCAAATAGGCAGCATTATAGTAGATCAGTACTATTAAAGAAATCTTTGCCTATGATAACAAGATTAATCACACTCATCGGGTGCTTCTTCTTACTCAAGGCTCTAGCATTCAAGCCACCCAGTTCCTTGTTCAAGATATCAATCTTCCATACCAGTTATTATTTGATCAAGTGATACAAAATGCTTGCTTTAAGAAATTGCTATGCTTTATGTATCATTCTCAAACAGTTGATGATTCCTACTCTTGTCTAGTATTCATTGCCTTACAGTATGTCATATCCTGCATTCTGAACCTACATCTAACAATGTTCCCACACCTCATCTGGACCTCTGGACCCCCTGTCCATATCTCTACACCTCCAGTTCCCACATCTCAGTAGGATCAGTCTCCGTTTCCTATCATATCTCCAGAACCCCTATCTCCAGATTTTCAGATTTTTGGAAATCATCTGTACCTATCTCTGGACCTATTCCCACACTTTGTACATATCTGTAAAATGACCCTAACCTTAACTAATTTTGGCATTTTGGACGTGGAAGATGGAGAGCTTCTAGCCATTCATCAAGTGTTCGGTCATTCTCAAGTGGTTGGTGAGGCACACTACTCTCTGCAGACTACCAATGCGCTTACTCAAATATCCCACACTGCGGTGATGTCGATACAAAGGGTCAGCAAGCATTGGCACACTACAATTGGCCAACACGAGAACTGTACCAAACTAGAAAGTCAGCAATCAACAGGTGACACTCATGCGCAATTATATGACCGCCTTCTGGGACCTCTCAAAACCACTGTCTATAATGCTGCGCACCAGGCCATCATGTCAATGGGTGTTGAAATCATAGACAAACTCAGAAACGTTGCAACTGGAATGGGCAACGGCATTCTCAGAGAGCTCCAGGACATGTTTGGCCATTATGTCGGCGTCAACCATGCTGCTTCCATTGGTGTATCTAAAATGATATCATCGCCCCACCTCGCTGTTGACCCCAAACTCTTAGACACTTTATGGCCACTTTTTCTCAGAAATCCCAACCCTTCATTCACCTCTTCATACCAGGCAGAGCCCATGCAGAGCTGCTTAACCAATGAGCATGTTCTATGTGTCATGCCCACTGGCAGTGGCAAGAGTCTAGCATTTTTTGCAGCTCCCTTGATTCACCCTCGCGCACTCTTCATAGTCATAACACCCCTCGTGGCATTGACAGAGGATATGGCACAATGGTTGGCCACTACACATATTGAGGGAGGCCAGTATCCCCACATCCAGAACATCTTAACGGCTCAGATCATGATTGTATCTGCACATCAGGCAGGGACAGATGACTTCTTTTGTTGAGCGCAATCTGTCAAACAAAGGCTCATGCATGTCTTCATCGACGAAGCCCATCACATTTTCACCTTGGATGACTACCACAACTGTTTCAAACTGTTTCATCTCATCACCACCTTGACTAAACCCATAACATTCCTCACAGCCACAATGTCCCCTATCTCTTTATCCAGATTGTGCTCACAGATGCAGATTCCACCATCGCTCATATGCATCATCCGAGCCCCTCTTCACCAAAGTAACATCAGCTATTCTATTATCTCGGTATCCACCACACAGCTCAAGGAAAAGGTTGTCGAAACTCATCGCTCAATTGTCCTCCAGGAGAAAGATAGGGGCATCATATATTGCACCACCATCGCACTCATTAAGGAACTGTCTGAACTCCTCGACATTCCATACTACATGAGCAGACTCAATGACTAGCTCGATGACTCTACCAATACAGAGGAGAAGAACAGGAGGTTTAACGCCTGGTGCAATGGCGATACACCTTCCCAAAGATGGATGATCGCAACCTTGTGCTTTGGTGAGGGGATTGATTTTCCAGGAGTTCACTACATCATCCACATAGAAGTGAATAACATGCTCCATTTCCTCCAAGAGACTGGGTGCCTTGGCTGAGATGGCCACCCTTCTTCTTCTGTTCTTATTTACAGCAAACTTCCATTCTATCAGGAACCTGAGGGTGACAAGCACCTCAGTGTTCTTCCAATGAGGGAATTCATGAAGACGCACAACCCTAGAAAATGCTTTGTCACTGCACGTTTGAGTTTCCAGAGTAAAGTATCGGAGCATCTGGGCAAATCCACAAGATCATGCAACTCTTTCGACTGATAGGGCCGGATATGTTCCATAGCACCTATCTGCAAAAAAAAAGGTACCACTGCTACTTCATTAGTTTGTGAGGCGGCAATACCTGCTTGGTGCCTGGAAAGTAATGAAGCCAACAAGCTACTGGCTGGGCCAATCTCTTCACGCTGTGTTGGCGGCAGTAGGTTGCCACTGGAGTATGGCTGAGGTCACCGGACTGCGAACCAGGTGCATGTGTGAGAATCATGGCAAAACGACTGGATTTGGCATTTCATGAAACAATCTCAGATAGGAATTGGGTGCTTGGTCCCTGGCATCTTCTTTTCGAAGTGTCAGCACCAGTGTTCCTCCAGAGACCCAGGACCACAGTCTTCAGGAATAGCAAAATCACATCTCGGACAAACAAGTCTGGGGATGGGAGGGTGAATGTGAAGGATTGGACCATGTTGGTTAGGCAACAGGCAAAGGTCACGCAACTCTCCACAGGTAGCCACAATATCCGGGTAGTCCAGGAGGATGTCCTTCAAGAACTGGATTTGAAGGGTGCTGGGTTTTCTCGAGATTTTGCAAAATGTTATCTGATGCGGTCCGCAAGGGGTAGACTCTGCTAGTTTTTTAGAAGTGTAGCAGTGTCTCATCAATCTCTCAAGTGGCACAGCATAGCTGCATGGAACACCGTTATGCAGTGATTTGCACACAATCACCCCGTAGTCTCGGAGGTAACTACAGTTCACGGATTCAAGCAGACAATTGAACTCCAGCTCATTAGTTGCAGGTGATGCTGCATCATCATTGTCCAGAGTAAGTGATACCGTGCAATATGAATGGCTGTGTAGGACCAATTAGCATGACGCCATAGCTGAGGCCAATGAACTCACAATCCCTGCAAGCCAGACCATACCCACTTTCTCTTTGGATCAGATAGCAGATCAATATTAAAAGTCTTGAGCCATATGGCTGATATGGGGGGTATAGTAGCCAACTCGGGAAATCGGAATGCAATGTGGGGGTAAGAGGGTGATGGTCTGTCGATATTCCAATTACATGGGTAGGCCTAAGCGGAAGGGGTAGTAGCTTGGAAGAGTATACCAGATCCGCCAAATGCCGAACTGGTGTGATCCAACAGAGAAACATCAGTTGCTGCTCCAGAAAAGTCTTTAGAGCCATCTTGGTTCCCATATGATCCTGCTTTTGTCAACAGAGGCAGAGCGCAATTAGAGCTCATATTAGACGCTTCCAGATGATCTAAAGGACCAACAGCTACAGATTTATGACCATCAGGTGCTGAAGAGTCTTACCGTCATGGCCCAAATTAGAGGAAGTGCCAGCATGACCTTCCAAAAGGTCTGTTTCAGCTGGGTCAGCTCTAGTATGATACAAGGATTGAGTGTGGTCACCCACCATCAAGTGCAGCTTGCACGTCTTCATCCTTCTCTGCTTCAATCTCAATTTGCTTAGCCATAAGAGCTCACAAGTCTTCTTCTTCGTCCTCGGCCGAATCCGAATCCACCTCTGTAAAATTGTTGGTACTTGGACTAGCTTTTCAGGATCTAATCATGTTGAATATCAAAAATAAGACTATCATATCTTTGACTCACTTTCATGGTTAACATGATACAGCACTCTTCTGACAGCACTTTCCAAGGCTGACCTGGTAGCATCATCAAAATTAGTCTCCTCTTTGTTTATGCTATATGCCAAAGAATGATTGAGATAGCAGCTGAGGGAGCAAAATTACATATGTACATGAAGATATTATTGTTATTTTGACCAGCATCAACTGGTATTCCGAACAACGGGACATCCCATCACATGTCACCCTCCCCTCATCTGCACAAGCTGCCTTTCTCCATCAAATTGGTTGCAGCTGACATCAATACCAAATATGCCATGGGATTGAGAGAACTGAGAGTGCTGAAGCATATCCTGGACACCATAAAGACAATTGGATGCATATACTGCTGGGTCAGTGGTGAACATTGAGTGGGCCCATACTCTCATCCCGAAGTCACTCCTTCGCTCCATAGTAAGGTCATATTGCTTCTCCCACCCACCAAACGTGAAGACACCACATACTGGGTATACTGTTACAAGTGCTGGGTACCCTTTCGAGAACCTTGCATGCACCCTTCTCTACATTCAGGATCTCTGAGCAATCACCTGTTATGCCCTTATGGCACTCAATTCCCATTCATCCTCCTAACAGTCATAGCAGTTATTCGCGAGAGCAAGGTTATCATTGATGGCCAACCCACAAACCCCTATCTACAAAAGATAGCAATGAGACTTGCTGTTGATCCCACTCACTTTGCCTCCATTAGATCATTACAAGTGTGGATCAAGCACAAACCCAAGGACGCAGACGAGATTCCACAATGTCACTCTTTCGTGATCGCATTTTACAGAGAATTTCGAACCATTCCACCGGATCAATCGGACAATGTTCACATGGAGGATGCTCAACCTGATATTACTGACAATGTCAAGATGGCCAACACTTGATCATAGATATATTAACGCTCACAAATGTATTCATGCTTCGATGTTTTTATTTTTTATTTGTCCACCCATGCAGTGGTAATGGAAGAACTGTCATGAGAGGAATCGAAGCTACGTTGGGGACCTGACACTTCACCCCAAGGTAAAGTGTTTCAGTAAGCGACGGACCAGTCACCGAATATATTCAAAGTCATGTCTTCTGTTCTTGGTTCCTAACTTCTCAGCTAGTTGTTGGCACTTTAGGTATGCCTATTTTCACCATTCTGCAATTCCTGACATGTGATTCTGATAATCCATATAAGAGAACCCAAAACTCAAGTACTCACAACCCACCCTGACCTTCCTTGTGAAATTTGCGAGGCACGCACATTCACTCACCACCCCTTTTCACCTGTATACTCAACGATGCTTTCAACCAGCAAATCCCTTTTCCCACCAAACTGCCTTCAATCATGTGTTTTCTGCGGCAAGCAGTTGAATGAAATGGAAAGACATCATTCCATCCACAACAAGGACCCATCCTTGAAGATCAATTTTCTTGGCAAGTAACCCTGTCGCTGTCCTCGACCTTTCACCTAACACTGCAGGCATTTTCCCATTTTCCTCCACCAAACATCCAAAAAACATTGATTGAGAAGATAGAAATTTCCCCTCATTTTTCCTGTCAAAACATTGAAAAAAAGTAATTCATGTCTCAATGATGTTCTGTGTGTGGGACATGATGCAAAAATTGGTCATGTTCCTTCAAGAATAATGCTGTATTTTCCATGTATTATCTTTGAAATAACAGCTTAAAATAATGTTAATTTTCTTCTCTATGTTTTTCAACATACACAGAACATTTGAAAAAAATAGTATATTTGAAAAACACAGAGAAGAAAATTAACATTATTTTAAGCTGTTATTTCAAAGATAATACATGAAAATACAGCATTATTCTTGAAGGAACATGACCAATTTTTGCATCATGTCCCACACACAGAACATCATTGAGACATGAATTACTTTTTTTCAATGTTTTGACAGGAAAAATGAGGGGAAATTTCTATCTTCTCAATCAATGTTTTTTGGATATTTGGTGGAGGAAAATGGGAAAATGCCTGCAGTGTAATGACTTTATAGGAACTCTAGTAACTGCCAAGCTGATGTCTAAGAAGGGCTATCATTGCCCATTTGTAACTTGCCCATTCATAGGCCTTCCTGCTGCCCTCTACATGCATATCCTCACCCACATCGATGTAAGTTGACCCCTCATGCCTTCTCTCTACACTAACTAACAGTACAAAGATCAAACCTCTCTACGGTGACATGCCTGCTCATGGCATCACCCCGCAAAAGAGGCCACTGGAAGACCCCTTTTCTCCATACCTGGACACTCTAGTTGGCGGAACACCCTCCAATACTGCGCCTGTCGACAAACTTACTCCTCCGGCCCCCTCCTCCAGTCCTAACCCCTTTCTTGGAGACAGCGAAACCCCACTCAAGAAGTAGTGCGCATCACTGGAACCCCCCACCACACCCCCCTCCCCTACTCCCTTGCCCAATGATGTCGACAAGATTGCCATCCTTGAATCCTATCTGAATGACTATGGGGGGGTTTGCGCTCTCCACGGATTATCATCCTCACTCCCTCATCTCAAGCCCCATAGAGATCTACGCACCTGCGACCTCGTCAATGCCAAATTCTACCTCGGACACTACCGCAAGACGATACATTGTTACATTAACAAGCCTATCTTGTGCTCCTCGTGCAGTGGGTGCAGGAGGTTCAAGCACCCTGTCTGGGCTTGTGACAATGATTCACTCCAAGACTTTTGGCTGGGCATCCCCTACCTTGTCTTCACCATACCCGTGATCACCCAAATTCTCTTCAATTTCCTTGGCGTGGACTACACTGATGAAATCACAGATTCCATTCAGTCGTTTGGCACCTGGTTATACACCCCTTCCACTAATGGCACCATCATCAGCTTGGGATACCCCCGATTATATGACCTTATTCACACATTTTTTCAATCAGCATTGCAATTTTTGACCATAGATTGGGCAGTCGCAACACAGGAAGTGGCCGCTCACATTACGTCCTTGCAACCACTCTAGGAACTCCAGCACAGATAGAAAACCCTGCAATCTGTTCTCAATAGTAATTCTCTCATGCACCATGTACTTGTAGCCCCTGTACTGTTAGTCAGAGGTCGTTAGATTTGGGCCTTTTTTTCCCTTGCAGATATATGTAGGTCAGAATTGCACTCATAATTTGTTCTGTATTAGCATTCGCTCTCTGTCGCTTGTAATATATAGCATAATGTCCCAGGATTTCATGACTTTACACCTATGTTGTAAACTTACTCATAAGCAATGCATTGTAAATTTACTCGCAACAAGTCCCCTAAGTCATGCAGGTCACAGAAGTCATGCACATGATGTTGCATAAGTCCCCAAACATTTTCAAATATAGAAGCCACACTCAAATCTTCATTTGCTCATATCACAGATTCATCGTCTGCAGTCTACGTACCTTTGGCTTCTACTTGGAAATTCCAAGTAGATGCACTTGTACGCTCCCTCACCCTCAATCTTCTCTTTTAATCCTACCCAGCTCCATGTCCTCCACGCAACCTTCCAGTGCTATCCCACGGCGTCCAAATCTCCTTGCCATTCAAGGAGGCCCATCGTTACCTGCACCTTTGCCGCCCACACCTCCTTCGTGGTAAGCAGCGACTTCTCTGCCCACCACTAACACGCTCACACATAGTGCAGCTCATTCCCAAAGGACAGAAATTATTTCTACTTAAAGGAGGTAGACTGGATCCTCTTTTCAGCCATGCAAACTGTGTGCCCGTTCCCTTCGCAAATTAAACCAGATTTCACTCATGATGATCCCGACATCGAGACCATATTCCAACTGTGATCCAACCTCTCTCACCATATCCAGGTTGCTGCCACCCCAAATGACTTGGAACTAAAATACACAGGCCCACTCTTCCAGCGCCTCACCACCATCCAGATTGTCGGTTCTGGCACTTCACACACTGTCTGCTGGACAAAAAGCCAGCTGGAAATGGCTGGAAGACACACTACACCACTGTTAACACCATGCACAAAGGGTAGGACTGATTCCAAGGGGCTTGGCTTTAGCTCGTGTGCTGCGCCCCTTACCTGAGTATGTGCCCTTATTTCAGAATGAAGTCCAAAGGACTTCCGGATGAGCATGGGAAACTTCAGAAGGACCATCCAGCCGAGTGCGAGAAACTTCTGGAGGAGTGTGGGAAAGTTCCAGAGGAACTTCTGGAAATTACTATGAGGTTCGTCCACTTGACAAGGATACGTGTGAGGCTAATCAGGATGAATCCTGAATAGAAAGCAAACAGAGGAAAGGCTGCAGGGACAAAGTCTGAAGCAGAATAGGTTCGGAGGACCACAGGAAAGTTCCAGAGGAACTTCCAGAAACTCGTAGGAATGGAGGAGCGGAGGAGCAGAGCTCCGGCCTAGGGAATTCCTCCCTAGGCCTGAGATGGATATTGACTAAGTTGGAGGACTAGAACTGGTATGAGGACTTAGTGTGAGATCTAGTGCGAGGACTAATATGTGTAATATTCAGACTAAGGAAATACAGGAGTTTCTACAGGAGTTTATATACTACAGAGGACATAATGGAGAATCAGTCAGCGCAGTGCGAGGCTATGTGAGGCTATGGACGGAGCATGTGGAATGCCTAACACTAGTGTATCGGAACTTAATAAAATGAAGACGGAAATGAATAAGGTACAGAAAATAAAGCACAGTCGGTTATAGGGATAACCAGATGTCTGGAAACAGGTGATTACCATAAGGGGATGGGCACTGATTTAAGGTTTGGGTTCGGATATGAAGCATAGGTCGGATCCGGAGATCCTGACAAGTGGATATCAGATTGGGTATCCGGATATTGGATCCGGATGTGTGGATATGCAAAGGTACAGGGATCTGGACAGATAAATGACATGGACAGGGGGTCTGGATGAGGTGTGGGAACATTGTCAGATGTAGGTCTGGAATACGGGATATGACAACTGCACTGCCTCCATCTTCAGCATAGACTCCCTACTCCCCTTGGAGTTCTCCATGCTACCCCTTCCCTCCTCCTACAGCTACCTTCATGTCCACAAGAAGCAGTCCCATGCTGTTCGGTGTGCACAGAAATCAAGACTCACATTCCACAGTCTCATAGGGCTCGTCAACTTGTTCTACAGGTGTGCTCTTGTACGATATGAAACTGCCAACTATGCAGACCCTCAATGCCCACTTTCCCCCTCTCGTACTCTCATCCAATCTGGTCTCAGCGAGACCCACGTATGTGATATCCTCGACATGCTACAACCCGAGGTGCTCGGGAGATGCATCAGTGTTGTCCTTGACCCCCAATCTGTTATGACTGGGGTCGTTCTTCTTTACAATAACCAAATGGTCAAGTCGAAGTGTAAAGCAGAGTCTGCCTATGAAAATAGGGTCTAGGTTTCTGGCTAAGGACAGTGTTGCTGACCGCCTTAGAATAATGGTTCAAGATAGTAAGGTTGGAGACCTTACTGAAGGACTAGTTTCCAGGTAAAACCCAGTAGATTAAAGTGAGTAATATAAGCGGTAACTACTGTGCTTAAATAGTCCATATGGGGCGCACAGACCAGGCTAAGAAAGGTAGGCATAAGATGCATATCAAGATAGAAGCGGGGATAAGAGATAAGTGATAAGAGCCCTTATCAAGATAAGGGCTGTGCATGATAGCGGTTGCTAGCACAAAAGGAAGCTTTAGTAATCATATGAGTGAGATACTGAAAGGTGATCCAGCGTTCCATAACTGAGGATGTTAGAGACCATTGTCCAGTAACAAAAGAATAAACGGGGGCATAAGTAAACCATAACACAATCCTCAGCTCTTGGGATACTATACCCTTATCTCAACCACATACACATTCCTGTATGGGTCAAGATAAGAATGTCAAAAGGCATATTTTATACCAATACTATAAAATATCACACCTTCCATCTCGCCATTCCTTCCACAGAAGAACAGCTCCAAATCCGCATGATGATCAACAAAACCATTGCAGACGACTTCCGGCCAAGCCCCTCTGACCTCGACCCCAACAGCCTTCATCAATGGAACACCCTTGTTGAAGGCCGGAAATCAGCGTGTGAGCTATTCACATCATGAGTGTCTGACACCATAAAGGAACGGGTCAAGAAAAGGCTTCAAGCTGCTCTCAACTTCATCATACCCACTCAAAGAGATGGAACAAGGTTCTTCATATGGTATCATTCAAAAGAAGGCAGGTTCCGCAGAGAGCTCGACCTCGAAGATGCCAAGAAGGAGTTCGAGACCAGACACTGGGCAGAATTCACCTACAACGAAATCTCAAACCAATGGGACATCTGCTCCCTATTCGACAAGGACTGAGATTTGCTTCATGACGATGCACAATTTAACCAACCATTACAGGAAATTCTTGCAATGCCAGCTCCCCTACTCAGAAATCCCCCTACCCTTCTGTCAGACCATAATAAGTTGGGAAGAATCGTGGTGCACCAAACAACTACTGGGCAGGACATGCTGTTTTCTACATACCTGGAAGATATTTTATACAGCCAATGTGGACTGCTCTGCAGCACGCAGGACAAAATATAGTCTGCAAGCGACTTCATGCACATCGAAGACTCTCAGATCGTTGATACCTACACCATTTGCAAATACATCATGGAGGCCAATCTCCTGCTGGAACACCACAGCAATGAATTTGCTATCTGGTACTTTATATCCTCTTTCGCACTCAAGGTTCAACTGCCTTCAATCCTATGGGATTTACATCCCAAGCATGCTCGGCAGCTCCTAACCTGCAACATATATTTCAAGGTCGAGCAGGTGAAGGACAAGAGTCTACCTGGCTACCTGGTCCTCCCTCTCATTCCGAAATATGCTCGCACTTGGAACTTGTTCCTCGGAAATGCCACTTCCATTGTTCAGTGCATTAGGGAGCAATGGGGGCCATCCTTAGAGGATGTGATACTCTGCTTATTCAAGCGCGGTATACTGTTCAAACTGCTGTTCCATGTTGCCTACCCTTCCATTCCCCGTCCCATATCTGTCTTCGAATCCAACTGCCATCCTTATGGTTGGACGGCCAACGAGTACGAATATGCAGACTACGAACTTCATCAAAATTATTTGTTGAGATTGCTGCATGTAAGAGTCGTGGTTGCCCAAGCTGGAGGAATTCTCTGGTGTCTCTGCAAACAGGAGCTTGCGAATGAGATACCCAACATACCTTCACTCAATGTCCTTTATTTTGTGGAAGCGTCACCAAATTCATCCCACACATATCTCTATGACACGCTAAGCGAGCACGAGATTGAGATCCTATGCTGGATATACTACATCGACACAGGTACACCTTTTTTCTACTCCTCCAATGTATCCCCCTCATAACCTCATCCACAGATAGACGCGCTCAAACCACTACATTGGCATAGCCTCGAACCCTTTGAAGTCTTTGAAGTCATGCATCCAACTATGTCCTTGAAGTCTAAAGTTACACATGCGCCCTGAAAGTCTTCAAAGTCTTCAAAGTCCAACTTCATTTGAATTGACATGTTGTATGTCCTCAAAGTCTTCAAAGTCACATCCATGGCCTCAAAGTCGCATATGTCCTCGTGAGTTTGAGGGCATAATAAGACTTCCACGACACCGTATCCACCAAGACTTCCAAGACATACCACAATTCATCATCTTCAATGATGGCTTGCCAATGAGAAATTGGATCCAGTTAGGGCCCTTGAGATCAAGGAGCAGAACACCGCAAACAAGCAGGCATGGAGAAAACGCAAGAGAGAAGAAACAGACAAGACCCGACAAACTGCACATGCAAGCACCCAAGGCAACCCTCCTTGAAAGTGGCATTGGGCTTCACCTACTGAAGCATCTTCCAATATTGCTGGGCCATCTAACTCTGCCCATGACCCCATCCCCGCTGCTGAAACACCTTCCAGTCTTGATGGGCCATCTAGCTCTATGCACGGACCCATCCCCATCGATCCTGTCCTCCTGAACCAAGAGGCCCCCATAATCACTGGGACTCCCCGTCCAATGTGCAACATTGAAGTGACGACAGACACACCTGGCTCCCTCATCCACTCACCCTCCTCTCCACATGTCCAAACATCCCCTCACCCGCCTTGTCTGTACTCACCGACCTGGACTCCCATGATCTCTCCATGCCAATAATTGACTCTCAAGTCCACGAACAGTCAGAAACAGTTCAATGGTGTGATGGATCCACCACTGTCCTTCCATGCATCATGATGGACAGCATCAACATATGTCAAGAAGACACAAATGCAGTGTCTTTTTTTGTGTTGCTTCCAGAGTCCCTCCCCGAGATGTCACAAAATGGCATCCACTTATGGTATAGCGACTGGCACTCCAAAAGTTGACAGCTATGCGATGAGATCTTCACAGTGCTTCGCATCAGTAAAGCCATCGTCATCTGGCAAGTCAGCGCACCTGAGCCTGTAACCCTTGACCTGGATTACCTTGAAGATCATGGTATATCCGACCTCATGTGTGTCATGGTACATGGTGAGCCTGTTGAAATCCTTTATTTTCTGACTTGATATAATGCTATAACCAGATGCCGAACAATGAACAAAGGATTTCGCGTATCCCCACCAACATGCCACCCTTGCACAATTTATGAGCAATATACACAACTCTCACCAGATCCAGTGTATACTCGATGTCCCATTTTCACAAGGTGGTCTCCCATCATTCGTGAGGTGCATATATAACTCTCGTATGCTGTTACAATGCTATACTGTCTATCCTCAGCACTCTCAACCATGGCATCATTAATGGATGGAGCATCAGGAAAAAGGAAATTTTCCTTAACACCACTTATGGTGACTTGCAGGTGATTCTAAGTAAGATTCAGTAGAATTCTGCTAAGTATGCCATTGCTTAAAACAAGTAGGGTCTTCTGATGAATTTGACTTGTTGTTACACTTATCAGCGACTTGACATAAGTACACAGTTAAGCAGTGACGTCAAGTGTGACTCGTCATGTCAGATTCTCTCAAAGACACATTGTAAGCTAAGTCAAAATAAGCAGACCAGAAGTAGAGGGATTCAGCTCTAAGCAGCCACATAGGTCTGAGTATATATTGTGTCTTTAAGGCTCCCAAGGTTGCAAAGTCAATGGTAAGTGTAGAATTTGGACAATAAAGCGGTGACTCGGAGAATCATGTGTATTCATACCATGCAACCAAGACATCCAAGCATATCTTTAAGGCTCCCAAGTTCCACACAGTTGATAGGTAAGTGAATAATTCAAGCACTCACAAAACCATTCAAGTCGGGTGTATACCATTAACACCGTGATCAAGACAAAGCGGTCAAGGAAAGCATCAATTCAAGTGGTGACTAAGACAAAATGTGAATTAAGATGGTCAAGCGAAGGAAATAAGCGTGATCATAAGAACTGCCAGAGTTGAATCAGGTCAGTGTTAGTTATATGATTATTCACCTCTACAGTATGCATTTCTATGTCTTTTATGTGTCTAACCTTGCCATTACACTTACAGTATCATTCCTTACACTTTGCTACCTATTTACATGACTTCCTGATCTCCCTAGGACGTCCCTAGGTCGAGTTATTACTTACCCTGTGATTGTGGCTTGTCTGTTTACATTTGTTTACCATACGTCGCCCATATCCCAGAGTCCAGTGCTTACTGCCTCTTTGGCAACTTACTCTGGACTCTAGGTACAGCACAACTTCACTATACCATTCAATAGATTGGCAACTTACTCTGGACTCTAGTCTGATCTCTTCTGGTCTCTCAGTAGCCTCTAGAAGCGGCCCACTTCACTCCCATCTTAACAGTCAATAAGTGAACACAGCACTGGCAAGCAAACCACTGGCAGAAGATGACAAGAACGAATATGATTACTACTCCGCGTCAGAGCCAATAGTATGATCCGAGTCTTCGGACCCAGACTCAGACTCCGAGATGTCCATGAGCTGGGCACATTCGTCGAGATCTTCATCATCCACAGCGTCATCGACGGCTCTATCATTGCCAGAACGATGGCTTTTCTTGGAAAATTCCTTGGCAGAAGTGATGACGGCTTGGAACTTCTCGTCTCAGAAGCTTCTCATGATCGACTTCACATATGAGCGTGTGGAAGAACCCCAGGTGACGTCATTGAAGCCCGTTTGGCGATTGGAGACTTTGCCGGTTGAGTGATTGAGTGTCTTCGGCAAGGGTATAGATTTGCCCTTGGCAGTGAGAACCATTTCGATGGTTATAGTACGAGTAGCAATAAGTGTCAATGCTCGTTCAACCTAGTAGTAGCAATGAGTGATCAGCGAGGTGTGATTAGAAAATAAAATAAAAATATATTACCGCAGCACATGACAGCGCTAGACCCCCAACAGGATTCAAGTTTTCTCCCGGCTTCTCTAGTCCATGTATCTTGCGAGCGCCGTTGATAGCAGTGAAGTGGGCGCCAAACGTTTGCACCACGAAGGCACCTTGATAAAGTCTGCGGAACTTCTGCATTGCATGTTATTACTAGTGGCACAGCGACAATGAATAGAGATAGTGAGAAGCACATACAGATTTATTGTCACTGTTTGCCTTCTTGTACAAGAAGCGAAGCTTGTCCAGCGTGTAAGTAGCAAATTCGACACGATTATCGTCCGAGTGCTTGAGTGTCTCCTGGGACTCGAGGTATGCGATGATGATCGCAATGGCTGCTGAGCCGATGAAGCTTCGATAGGAGTCAGCAACACGCTGGACAGTCTATAGTACCAGGTTGAAGTTAGTATTGCCATTGACACACATGAACACACTTACTATGAGATACATGGTGCTCGTGCTCGTGACTGTGTACGAGCTTGGGATTGGCTTTGGCTTTGGCTTTGGCTGCGCAGCTCACGGTGTAGCATCGGTCACCACATCCTGGTCCGCCTGCTTCTTCTCATATTTAGCAACGCGTTTGATGCCAGCTCTCTTGGTGCGTTCTTTCTCTTCTTTAGCATCTAATTTAGACTGAAGCTCAGCAGCTACTTCTTCTGCAGTACGGTGTTTCTTCTTTGGCGTTATGTCTGGGATACCTGGATGCTGAGTTGCATTTTTTGCACGAGTGACACGTCGGGTAGACATAGCAGTGAGTAGAAGGGGGTGACTCGGAGGGCACAAAGGCTTTATCAAGAAGACGTGTTTACAAGTAAGATGTTCGAATTGGGACTTCAATGTAATTTGACTTGCTAATTTGCCACGCCTCAACAGCACTCTTCGGGCCAGTGAGCACCCGAGCTCCGTTCCTTCATATCTCCAAGCCTTCGACCATATATTTCTACTTATCCATATCAAATTCTTTCCGAACTTGCCAGGGCTTGAAGGAGATGACAATCACTGACTATCAACATCGGTACCAACAATTGAAATCTTCATTGGTGACCAACATACTACTACTAGTAATGTTTCCTCTAGCTCCTAGTAAACTGTGGTGTGCTGACTGCTGTGTTTAGACTTGAGGGGGGGCAAGTCTCACTTCTGTGGCGTGTCGCTGAATGCAACTTCACATGTCAAATGCATTCTGTCATGCTCTTGGTCTTCCTCTCATCAAGATAGGCGATCGTCTTCGCCACATGTCAAATGCATTCCATCATGCTCTCGGTGGTGGTTGGAAGTTATTCATGGGCGCACCTTGCATCAACCCTGGGCAGATCATGTTACCATTGGCTACTTGTACGTACTCGCATGCATGATGTTCTCCTGTGCATTTACCAGGCCTTGTATAAAGTCAACTCAAAGTTACACCTCCAAAGCCAGACTCATAGGCCCCATTCGAGTGCACAATATGCACAATCTTGGCCGCCCTCAACCCACGCTGCCATGCCTAGTGACGGGCTGTATCCGCTGTTTTTACAACAGGTCAGGGCGCACCACTCATATGCAATCCCACCATCCATCTGAAGAACCCGAAGTCCCACCATCCCACCATTCCTCCTCGAGTTCACAGCGTTCCCAGTCATCCCGACCTGGCACTGGACATGCTGCAACGAGCTCAGCACGCATGCATTCACGCAGCCCAACTCAGACTCTAGCGCAGGTGACGAACAACTTGAAGCACCTGGGAGTTGCGACGATCAAATGGAGTTTGACTTGCTAGAGTTAGATGGATGTGGGTATGGCTTTCATGATGATGCTGCCAATGAGGCAGATATGAACAGCTCAGATCAACGTCCTTCAAGTGGCACTGGTCCCATTGGCCAGGCGAGTCGAGATGGTAGTGTTCCTCTTCAAGTTCCTGGTGTTACCAGAACATATCATCCTAATATCAATGGTGCATGTTAATTTCACTTGACGCTCATCCAAATTTGTGCCCATATACTCATCTCCATGAAGGGAAAATTTGCGACGAACATGGAGATGACATACCACCAAATACTCCACCACCTCCACGTCCATCAAATCGTGGACCAGACAACTGGACACCGTATGCTAATCGAGTTGATTTCGAAGTCGCAGACTTCCTCTACCGTCGCAACCAGATGTTGGGGGGCGATATCGACTTTATATTCAATCTGTGGGCCGCCTCATTAGCGGCTCATGGTGAAACACCCCCCTTCGCAAACCACGTTGAGATGTACAATGTCATTGATTCGACGCCTCTAGGTGACGTCGCCTGGCAGAGCTTTACTTCAGAATATAACGGTGCTCTACCTGAAGGTGACGTTCCGACATGGATGACCTCAGAGTATGATGTATGGTTCCAAGATCCTCAGATCCTCGTGCACAACATTCTCTCCAACCCAGACTTCCAAGGCGAATTCGACTACGCTCCACTACAGGAGTATGATACCAGCAACGGAGCACATCGCTTTCAGGACTTTATGTCTGGTGATTGGTGTTGGAAGCAGGCTGTAAGCCATTTTTCATCCTTTTTTCCAATTTTCTGATCTCTCACAATTCACAGGATTTGATTGCCGAGGATCCCAATACAATTGGATCTATGTTTGTTCCAATAATCCTTGGCAGTGACAAGACTACGGTCTCCGTCGCTACCGGACACAATCAATACTGGCCAGTTTATATGTCGATCGGCAACATCCGCAACAATGTGTGACGTGCACACCGCAACGGTGTTGTATTGCTGGGCTTCCTAGCCATCCCAACAAGTACGTTTCAATCTGATGTTGTCTGTTGCTGGCGCTAATTAGATGCATATATCTAGCTGACAAGGAGTCCGCCAAAGACGCACACTTTCGAAAATTCCGCCGTCAGCTTCTCCACTCATCGCTGGCAAAGATGCTGGAATCCCTTAAACCAGGTATGACAACACCCGAGGTTGTACGCTCCCCCGATGGTCATTTTCGACGTGCGGTGTATGGTCTTGGACCATATATCGCTGATTATCCCGAGCAAGCATTGCTCGCTTGCATCGTTCAAAACTGGTGCCCAAAGTATGTATTTTTTTGTCCTTCACGTTATGCTAGTACTGTCTACTTACTACACATCCATCCAGATGTACTGCTCTGGCAGATGGTCTTGACAATGGTACCTATGGTCGGCGTTCCCGCGACCATACCGAAGTCTTGGTGGAGGAATTCGAGTTAGGTGTGCTATGGGATGAATATGGACTTGTAGGAGACATCGTGGTTTGTACCTTCATTATCGTAGTCATTTTTTAAGCTGACAACTTAAATATACGTGTTCTACAGCCATTCACCAACTATTTCCCACGAGCTGACATTCACGAACTCCTTTCCCTCGACATTTTACATCAGCTGATAAAGGGTGCGTTTAAGGACCATATCGTCACCTGGGTCCACAAATATATTAAGGCTCGGTACTCGGAAAATGAGGCGAATAAAATATTAGATGATATTGATCGCCAGTAAGTCCAATTTTGAACATGCTGGGTTACAATGACTGGTATTGACGCACTCTACAACTAGCATTGCTCTTGCTCCCTCATTTGCGGGCCTTCGACGATTCCCGGAGGGAAGGGGCTTCAAACAATGGATGGGAGATGACTCCAAAGCACTTATGAAGGTACGTCAATGAACAGGTGTTCTATCATCATGAGTAGTGTTGACTAACATGTATTCTTACTACCATAGGTGTATATACCTGCGATTGAAGGCCACGTACCTCCGGAGATGGTGCTGACTTTGCAAGCCTTGATTGATTTTGTATACATTGCGCGGCGCAATATCATTGACTCCAACAGCCTCAATGTGTTGGATGATGCACTCGAGCGTTTCCACAGGTACCGCGAAATATTTGAAACATCCGGTGTTCGCCCTAATGGATTCAACCTCCCTCGACAACACTCGCTTATCCACTACCACAAATTGATCCGATCATTTGGCGCACCAAACAGACTCTGTTCTTCCATCACGGAATCTAAACATATCAAAGCTGTCAAGGAGCCGTGGCGACAGTCCAGTCAGTTTGAAGCCCTCAATCAGATGTTACTGACAAATCAACGTCTAGATAAGTTAGCGGCGTCTCGTATCGACTTTGCTAGCCGCGGGATGCTAAGAGGAACATGTCTATCATATATCCTTGACAAACTCGGTACATCTACTAGCATTTGGCCACTAATATTACTAACACAAATCACACACTCATAATCCACAGGGCTAAACGCTCCAGTGCACAATGCAGAAGCCATTCAAGTCCGACTCGAGGACAAGCCTATTGACATTCCCCATCTCGGACACAACAATCATGTGAATGCCAACTTGGAGGCTGATGCAGACCAAGATGCTGAACTCGAGGGCGACGCTGTTGCTGGACCGACGGTGATACTAGCTCATGTGGACTTGGCGAAGAAATCTGGTGAGTGGAGTAGTACATTCACCTGGCGTGCTTTTTACTTACAACAAATTTTAATGTAGCAAAACGGATCTACGCAGACCTCCTCGCAGATCAAATTAGTGAACCGGAACTCACCACTCATATTCAGCAATTTTTACGTGACCAGCTCCATCATTCTGACTCCAACTTGAACTCAGAAGCCTCCGAGTCTGGCGCTGGCTCGTCCGGTGCCCTTCCCGAGCTATATGAAAAAATGACTCTGTATACATCTGCCATTGCCACCTTCTTCGCTCCAAGTGATGTCTCAGGCATCGGTGGTATGTGCTACAAGCGAATTTGTGCCGTGGATACCTGGAGGAACGGCCCTGGTCGATATGACTGTGTTTTTGTTAGTTCTGATCCCACTGTCGAGGGCATGCGTGGCTTCGATATTGCTCAAGTAAGGCTTTTCTTTTCATTTAAACACAATGGTGTACTTTACCCTTGTGCATTTGTGCATTGGTTCAAACATGTGCACAACTCACGAGATGAGAACACAGGAATGTGGGTAGTAGAGCCTGAAACCTGCGAGGATGGGACACGATTTGCCTCTGTCATTCACCTTGACTGCATTTTTCGTGCGGCACACCTTATGCCTGTATTTGGGCATGAATTTGTACCTACTTATCTCTCTTACACACAGACCCTTGATGCTTTCCGCACTTACTACGTAAATAAATACATTGACCATCAGGCATTTGAGATTGCCTGGTGACTTGATGCTAACTTATGTCGGCTTAGGAAGTACTTTGCATAGCGCCTATTAACTTAGTTACATTGCAGCATGGTGTTGATTACTGACAAATAACCTTCTTACTTGAACACGCTTTTCTGCAGCCTCTGTGCTGAATTTTGGCCATTCATTGCTTACTATCATTGTGTTTCCTTTGTGAACAATCCTCCAAGCAGAAATTAAGCCAGAATGGTTTGCTTTGACAACTTGGTGAACTTAACGTCGAATTAAGTCTCTGTAAGTGAGCTAAGATGGCTAAGACTTTTTCCCTTTTTCCTGATGGAACCAATCCACTGTCGACTGCCCCATCCATGAAAACATGCACCCAGACAACTTCACCGTGCGTTCATGGGCTTTGCTCCACGGGCCTGCCTATTGGACCAATCCCCATCACAACTCTGATGGTGGTGCAACTTTTATCCAAATTGAAACCGGCCAGAAAAAATGGGGCCTTTTTAGGCTGATTAATGAGTAGACGGTTACTCGCACCAACCTCTCCAAGATGGCCCTTACACTGGTGGATCTTTACCGAAACCATGAAAATATCCAGGAGAACTGGCATGGCAAAATCGTAACTCTCTTGCCTGGCTATATGCTGTGAGTCCATCCTGACATAATATTGAGCCTTACTTAGAAGTGCGATTATACAACCCGCCAGGCAGTTCCATGCAGTTTACATGCCTGTTGCCTCATTTGCAACAGGTGGGCATTTCTATAACTATGAGTTCATGCATTTAACCGAACTGTCTCATTACATCAACTACAAACTAGGAAGGACCCTCACTAACCAAGTTCATGAACACTCCCTCGCAATGTTTCATTGAATGCTCATCAACCTACCACACATATCATGTCGCGTTAGTAAGTCCATCTATGAATCACTTGATGTTGCATGCCTGTGACACAACTTCCAGAGTTATACAGCTGCCCCCTCATCGCCCTTTGTACGATGGTCTTAGAGTGTGACAAATACATGGCCACTGGCACTCAAAAATCGCAAGCAAAAACAAGCATGACCAAATGAGTGCATGATATCACAAACACTATAATTAAATATTTCTGGAAGAACATGAAGACCGCAACCAAGGTGTATCACAAGAAGGAAACAGATGACAGTAACAGCCAAATGCATCCAGGGCAGCTTATCAGCAGGGAAGAACTACTTACATGCCTTGAGACATTTATGACACTTTGATACCAAATTGCTCTGTGCATACCTACCTAATATACCATTGCAGACACACTGTATACCACCATAACACTGGATTAGTTAGCATTTTTATTTCAGGACTCACGCTTGCCAATGGTAGTAACATCTGCCTTGTCTTCTCCATAGTACAAATATTGCTTAGGCTAGTTAAAACAGCGTGGGAGTGAGTATATGGACCAATCAGCACAAATGCTATATGCAAACTTCAAAGCCAATGTCGACATCCAACATTGCAATACCCGTTAGCAGACCTTTTCCTTGTAATTCAAGGAAGATGTCTGTCTCCCAGTTGGACACTAATGTGATGTCAGTGCATGTCTTGTAGTCGTGTCTCCAATGTTTCCTTCGCCCAAGGCTAGTGTGTCCTAATCATCTCCTGCCTCAATGCAGCGCTTACTACGTCAGTCTTCACATCATCACACCCTCTATATTTGATATCCTCTTTCTCTCTTCCTCCTCTCCATCTGTTCCTCTCATCCCACACTTCCAATATGCCTGCCAATGCCCCCCACGACCTTCTCACCACACACTCATTACATGTCATGTTCTCAAAAGCTAAAGAAGCAGATGTAAACACATCCATGCTGGATTCCGAAAAACTCACAGCCCTAAGATTGGCCGAGGATCTGAACAGTTTTTTCCTCACTGGTGACCCAGGTAGGCCTAATCCATGTCCACATTCTCACCTAATGATTTCTAGGAACCGGCAAGACCTTCACCCTCCTAAGGATCATTGAGGTTCTATTGACACTCCTTAAACTGTCCCAGTTAGGGATCACAGCAAGCACTGGAGCTGCTGCAAATAGGCTCCAGGGTGAGTCTTTCTTACCTTCCAGCTCCCTTTCTTACAATATCAGGCCAAACCATACATTCCTGGGCTGGTCTAACTGGCTCAGAGGCGTGTCCAGAATGAGCTCTCAAAAAGGTCAAGGACAGTACTACTGCTTCAACACGGTGGCTGGAATGCAAAGTATTGATCGTCAACAAAGGTATACCTCATCTGATATTGCTTGACACATCATGTTTAACAGATCACAGTATCGATGATAACCCTCATATTTTTGACCCAATTAGACTTTATCGCACGAAACTTGCGCAAGACCGAACTCCCCTTTGGAGGAATCTGCATAGGAGACTTGCACTGCTCCCTATCCTTCTAATTCATCTCATAGATCATAATGTTGGGTGATTTTCTCCAATTGCCCCCGATACCATTGGGAGGAAATTCTGTCCAGTTTGCTTTCCAATCTCTGGTGTGGGACACCGTCTTCAAAGAAAATCACATCAGGTTAACCACTGTATATCGGCAGAACAAAGAAGGTACACTTGTCCTAACTGCCGCTACCAATGACTAATGTTCTGTCATACAAGGATTACTTGACATACTCAAAGAAATCAGAATGAATAATATCACGCCCCAGTCATGAGCACTACTGGCCAAGCAACAAAGGCCAATCCCAGCATCCTACCTACTTCATCTGGAGACTGTCCGCCTGTATTGTACGCTAAGGCTGGCCAACCAAGCCAACAACAAAAGGCTGGACAGAATCAACAGTCAAGCTACGATATACTCCGCCTTGGACCTGGCCCAATCCACAGACAAAAAACGACTCTTATTGTCAGCGCCTGTCGGCTCAATCGTCCAGCTCAAAGTTGGAGCGTGCATCATCCTACACAAGAACATAGGCAAAGGTCTCTTCAATGGCAGTATGGGCATCATCTTAGATTTCTATTCCTCACACCATGTTTTACCACCAGACAAGAGGGCCAAGAAGCCACAAACCTTGCGTTCTATTCACAATATTAAAGTTGACGACAATGGCCTCCCAATCCATGCACCACCAGGTCCAGTTTGCACACTCAGAGGCTGTGAACAAATGCTTTTCCTCCTGGTCAAGTTTGAAATCGGCTCAATGCACAAGCATGTTCTCGTTCTTGACGAGGAGTTTGTGTTTCAATCAGTCAAAGGCAATAAAGAATATATGGCCACACACTTTCAGGTCTAACTCTTAGTTTTGCGATTGCTTACTCATTTAGATACACGTTTAGATCCCCCTCTCATTAGGTTGGGCCATGACTATCCACAAGAGCCAGGGATCAGGCTTCAAAAAAGTCATTGTCAATTGTAGACAGTCATTTGCCGATGGTAAGCCTTGACCATAATCTTCTCAGTTCATGTACTAATACTGTTTCAGGACAAATATACATGGGGCTGTCTTGGGTACAGTCTCTAAAGGGCCTTCAAGTTGTAGGCCTAAACATGGCAATGGCAAGTGCATTGATCCAGTATACTTTACCACTAACATACCTGATCCAAAGGTCAAAATAAATGCCATTGCTGCCAAGTGGATGAAAGACAAGTTCAGTTCTATGTAGCTTAGCACTGTTCGCCCTTTGGTCCGTGTATAGAGGACCCCTTTTTTGCCCAGATGGATACTTTGTACACTAGATAATAACTCAATTGTACTGGTACTGGATCCCTTCATTGTACTAATGCCCTTTTGTCTTAAAAGTCCCTAAAGTCACAGAGATCTCTATTGTTTGTCTTGGAAGTCCCTGAAGTCATAGTATGTCTCTGAAGTCTTCAAAGTCACACCTGCAATGATGTCCTCAAAGTCTTGGATGTCTTCAAAGTCTTAGGTTTGAACACTACACCTGTCTTTTCTAAAACTCCAATTAAACACGACTGTTCCGTGGCTGCAATGTATCCAAGTCATACTTTCTGATTGAAGTTCCCTATTATCTGTCTTGGAAGTCCCTGAAGTCATAATATATCATTTGTCTTAGAAGTCCACTGTTTAGCTCAATTTGGCAACTATAGTCTATAGATTACCGAAATGAAATTTCCACTAGTCTCATTTTGTTCGCTTAAATTAGTCCTCATCACTTGTTCCTCCCCAACATTGTTGCATACCCAATACCACTTTGACTTCTCGTTGGAAATTCCAGCGAGTTGTGTTTACCATGACTACATACCATCATCAACAACATCTACTTCACGTCGATATCACACAGGGCCAACTTGCAACCTCCTTGGAATCGATCACCCATTGCCAACACCCTCTAAACTTCTCCTTGGAAATTCCAGCGAATCATTTCTGCGTCAAACGGAACCCTAATGCCCTGCTATCCTTACAATGTTAAACCCAGGGCTACAAGCTCCAAGCCCTGCAAAAAGGTTCCAGTCATGTTGGTGCCTTGTCTGATCCAGGTGGAGACACGTGCTCCCGCTGAGTCAAACTGTAACCCTAACTAATAGGACCTCATCTCTGTTCTCTAGAAAACGAACCTGCATCATTGTCAGCAGGAGCTGCATCGATGTCGTCAGGAGCTCTAGATTGGGCAGAGAACCCTTGGGAGGAGACTGGCCCAGTAACTACAACATATAAACATGGCCCTAAAGGTATGTCAACTGAATGTCTACCATTTCCAATCTAATTCATTCACTCCACTCATCGACTACTGCGACAAGCCAGGCCAATTCTGGCCTGACAGCTAAGAACCTCCTTTCAAAAGACAGAAACACCCCAAGCATATATTTGTCACCAAAGGCAAACACCAATCCTGCAAAGAGATCACCCACAACCATGAGGAAATAAACCAGCTGGAGGATGATGTTCGGGTGATGCAATCATTCCATCCACGAACTGGTGATGTTCATCTCTACCACAACTACTCCAATTATGATGGTTCCAATGAGGACAATTTCTTCAAGTCGATCAACGACGATTATGTTCCACCTCATACTGCAGCTGCCCCCATTCCTCCACCTACCACGATTCTAGTCCCTGTCACCCCCTCCGTTCCTTCTACTATGATCGTCCAGGTTCCAGTTGGAAAATGGATTGATAGAGAAGACAACTCATTGGATCCCGACGACCTCGACCTATTAACTGAGATCATGCAAATTCCCCCTGAAGTATACTACGAGTGACTTCCAGTCTCCGACGCCATCATAATGAACCTGTTAAAGTTAAAGTTGCCCGATATCAACGTCAGGTGCTTCACACAGATGGCAAAATTGTCCTTTGACAGGGCTTGTCCGAGCGATAAGCTCTAAATCCCCACAGTTATACCTCCCAAGGCATGGGTCAATAGCCTCAGAGCATCAGTCAACAAAGCAATTCAGGACGGCAAGTGGTCGATTCTCCATCCCCGACTTAAACACCAACCACTGCCTTTCTGGATACTGGCTCTCTGGGAGAAGGCCTGTGTAGTGCACGAGGCTCAAACATTATGGATTAACGCTGACAAATGGTTACAGGTGAAAATACTTGAGAATGGCACACTGTCAAGCACAGAATGTGACATCAATTTTTCTGTCACCAGGCAAGACATGTTTCTTCTACCACAACGCAAGCGTCTCATTGGCCGAAGAAACACATCGCACTTCGCTCGCATTTTGTCAGATGACTCTTTATTGTTGGACACTCTCATGGATATGATGGTCCAGTTCACTGCCTGTCAATTAAACCCATGACAGTCCGACATCATCATCATAGACACTGAGCTCCCAGATGCCATCCACCTGGGCAAAATGAACTTTGATTCATTGCCCTCTGTGTTAGAACGGATGCTCGCCCAAGGGAAGCTTCTTTTTTTCCCAGGTGTATGCCCAAAATCTCCCACTTTGTTGCGTTTAGCATTGATTTTAGATGGAAAGTATTGTACTATGGTAAGAAATTTTGTTGACTTGCAAGAGAAATACTGATCGGAAGGCAGGTGACTCTCTCAATCTCCGAGCTGGGCAATTCAAATCTTTCATTCAAAAGCTACAGCAGTGGCTTACTGCATGTTTCAATGGCCCATTCAAAGACCAAGGAAACACGCTACCACACACCATCCAACAAGACTCTGTCTCCTGCAGGCTATTTGCCCTAAACACAATCACTCACAATGTTTTTGGCGATCCCCTCAGCATCCTGAATCCCGCATCTACACAAGCATTGTGGTTCAAGCAGATCACTCGCCCTTATATTCACAAGCCACCACAACAAAGTACTACCACATCTACGTCTATGGTAGCGACCCCCCCTCCTCTTTCGACACCATCGGACAGCTTGCAGACGGGTCAAACTGAAGGAGATGACGAGAAAAAAGAAAGGTGGTGGCAACTGATCAAGAGATCCAAGGACAAAGCAGATTCATGGGCAGCGGAGGTCGCGCATCTCAAGAAAGAGAAAGAGACGCAGGAGCGGAGTGAGATTGAGAGACAGAAGGAGGTCGAATGGTTGGAGGAGATTGAGAGGCAGAAGGAGCTTGCTCGTGAACGTCTCGAGCCTGAGCGTCTGGAATGCGAGTGTCTTGGATGCAAACATCTCGAGCGTGAACTTCTGGAATGTAAACATCTTGAGCACGAACATCTTGAGCATGAGCGTCTGGAATGTGAGCATCTCGAACGCGAACATCTCAAGCGCTGTAGCACCCGAGCTCGCGCTAGGCTCGTATTCACTGATTTTCCCAATACACGTTCAATGCCCATCACTTCCTGATGTAACACGCGCAACCCGACGCAAACCCGACACTTTGACTAGCGGACCCGACATTTTGGCCGCATCGGACCCGATATTTTCCCGTGCACTTGTCCTATCCGTGTCCCGTCCCGTCTTGCTAGCCCCACTAGGTGCGTAGTCGATTATTTACATGTACTTCAGACCCAAAATTGTTGGCTGCTACTTTCGCCTATAGGGTTCTGGATTTCTACATACTTACATATATATTGGACTGACTACGAGTATTTTCATTATCCAAGTAGTAGGGAGCCGTTTCCCAATACTTAGTGATCAAACCCGATATTTCGTAGTTCTTAGTTGACATTGTGAATATTACTGCTCTTTCTATCTGAAATACCCATCGTTATCATATATCCGCATACTGCTCGCTTTCCCAACATTCACTATCACCATTCCCGCTAACCCGCTAACCCGAAACCCGAAAACATCGGACCCGACACTTTGGCATTGGACATTGTAGGTATACCCTCAGACTTTGTTTCTCGCGCTCAGACTTTTGACCATTTATCGTTTCACTAACTACAAACCATTCCAAATAGCTAACCCCTCGGGTCGAATGCACTTGTCTTGCAAGTATAGCAGACTAGGCTGTGCACAACCACAACATCTTTATATTGCTGGCTACTTACTTCATGTAGTGCCCAGCAATTGTTGTATCTCTACAGCGCAAACACCTGGAACAACACCGCCTCGAACGCGCAAGCGCCTTCACCAAGAATCACCCAAGGCAACTCAATGCACTCAAACGGAGCATGTCGTCCTGGATGATAGCATGGACGTTGATATCAAACCTGGCAAAATAGCCTCTAACCCAATAACTATGGTCAGAGATCCATCTCATTGTTCATGTGCACCATTTGTTGCACACCAATCACGTCATTCAATATCCCCTCCTCACCATGGATCTTCTTATCCTTCTCGGAGACCATTCTCTCCTACCCGACCATTGACATATAGACACTACGCTCCATCTCGGTTCAACCATCACCTGACTGCTCATTGTCGACATTCGCCTTCCCCAGATCGGTTTGCGCATCACGGTAGATTTCCCTCACCTGTTGGAGCTCAAGGGTATTACCGACAGATTACCTGTTACTACAGCCCTGTCCAGAGAAGTCGTTGTAGTAAGTGTGCCTTCCCTAAGAAACTAGCCATGGCCAATTTTTTCCATCACAGCACCTTCACCTTGTTGTGGCCCAGCAACTGACTGGCGCCGTGAGTGCATACTCTACGGCCTGTCTATCTGGACCAAACACCTCCATTACTCACAAGGGACAATGGAGAATTCAAATGATATCAGGACAGCATTAGGGACATGCTTTGTCTTCCCTTCACCTGCCGATTCTGCGGCATGAGTGGTCTTCTATGGCAACTTGCAATACAATATGGGCCAGACAATTTAATTTCAGCTGCCCTGTCTGGCCCTTCAAGTGATGCCTATATGCATTTGAATAGTGAGCTCATCGGCACCGATATTGATGACATGGTGAAGGATGCTCATATCAAAATGCTGCTGGGCATAACAATCGACGGTCATTCCTTGTGGCCTCCCATCGATGTCTTCGAGAAGCACATGCAGTGGGAAGAAGAGTGGACTGCAATTTTAGAGATGTGGTTCATGAAGCACATTGCTATGATACAAAATAGGGTTACACATGCTTTCACCACCCATAGCCAGTGGTCATCGAGACTTTGGCAACACACCCTAACTTCATCCAAAGACACTATGAAGGTTGTAACCGAGGTGCAAGCACAGTTATTGTGCTACAATATTGATCAGTTGGATCTGAAATCTTTCGTGGTGTTGGATTAGCCTGCGTCGTCGTCATTTTAATATTTCTCTTATCATGTCATATAGCACATAGACAGCAACAGAATGTACTTTTACACAGATTGGGTTACAGACTTTTGGGTCATGGACTTTATGCACTTTGCATATACTACCTGGTTCCTGTCACATTGTTGTAGATATACTATGATCGCAATCACTGCTTGATTCATGTAACATTAGGCATCGTTGTAGATATGCCTTTAATCACAGAGGTAGTATTCTGGAACTGACTGAAGTAGTCCCTAAAGTCGCATAAATATCATATGTCTTAGAAGTCTCTGAAGTCGTTAGGGTTGTCTTAAATGTCCCTGAAGTCCCATCAAGTCTATTGTATATTGTATGTCTTAGAAGTCTCTGAAGTTGTGGTTGTCTTAAATGTCCCTGAAGTCTATTGTGTTAAATTCGCATGTCTTAGAAGTCACCGAAGTCGCTTGTGCAGTGATGTGTCCTTAGAAGTCACCTAAGTCATAGAACTTCTAAATCTAGTCGATGTCATTTTTCAATCAACCCACTCCTGACCACATCGACTGCATTTGACTGGATCATTAGTCTGAAATTCAGACTAGTCATCAAACATCTCCTGAAGTTGTAATGTATTACATGTCTTAGAACTCGTCTCATATGTCTCTAACCAATTTCGACTACCCTTTAACTCTTCACATGTAAAATTCCCGTCTGACTTTGTGGGACTTCTACTTCCACCCTAATATGTATTGAGATTTAAGCGATGCCTTAGCGTATAAAGAACTCTGATAAATCGTTGACCAATATATAAAAGTTGGCATTGTCACAGAAGACTTCTGAATCAGGAAGTAGTTGCAGAAGTTCAAATCACGTGACATCAGAGACACAATGGTTTTGTCATCCACTAATTTTCTTTTCTATGGGTTTTGGCATGTTGTTGTTGTTGTTGTTGTTGTTGTTGTTGTTGTCTTCTTCTTCATCATGAGAGGTTTCATTATCTCAGGAAGGTTCTCTTTAGTGTCTGGTTTGAGGTTTCTGTATGTCAGAGATCTTCTTATCTTTATTTGTGACAAATGATGTTGGTTCAGGGATAGGGTTGGGCTCGACTATAGTAAGTCCGATCGATAATACAGTGGTTCTTGCCTAGACTGATGATGGCCCTGGTACATTCAAAAATGTGGGAAAGAGGTTTGGGGGTGTCTGAGGTCTGTTCAATCCAGCTATCAAAACTAGGGATCTGGAATAGAGGATCGATCCGTAATAGCTTCAATAAAGAAGATCAGAAATATAGTATCAGGTATAGATGACCAGAGGTAGAACTCTGGCGAGTCAATCAAGTAAAGGCTAGTTTCTTCATAAAGAGCTAGATCAAAAGGGCACCCTTAGGGCCTTAGTTGTATCAGGTATGAACTGAGTAGATTCAAGGTAAGAAAATACAGTGGTAGGACTAGAGTTTATATATATAAGAAAAAGCGCACAGACCAGTCCATAAGACATTATAGAAGTACAGGAAAAGGAAGTTAGAGATCAGGAAAGTCCTTATGGTCAACATGAAGTAAGCTAGAAGCAAGACAGGGATCAAGAAGTATAGTATATGTGTAGTCTGGTAGATGATGATGGGAAATTGATGGGGTTACCATGATACCTGGCAGATAATACAGTTCTAATTGATACAGTATACTCCAAACCTATCACTTACTCTCAGATTATCAAGGTAGTCACTAACCTAAGTGGCTACAAAGCACCAGGATCCGACAGCATGTGTAATATTGTATTTAAAGAATATACAAGTATTCTCACCTCCTACCTCATTTATCTCTTTAATGCTGTTTTCACCTTTTGTACATACTATGAACCTTGTGGACACTTCACTATAGTCATTCTCCATAAGCGAAGAAAACCTAACTATACTATGCCCAAGGCATATCATCCTATAGTGCTTCTAAATACAACATGCAAATTGCTAACAGCAATAGTAGCAGACCAACTGACCTTCCTTTTAGAAAAACATCAACTTCTCCCTAATCATTGTTATACTATTGAAGTGACTAAAGTTTGTTTTTTTGTCAATTCCATATTATTGAATTAACCATCATATTTACTGATCTTGCATAAGTACCTTTGGCTAAATGTACCTTGAGAAGTGTCAACTGCTATTCACACACAACTATGTTGTTGGTCATTGGTATTTGTCTGAATCACTGACTATAGAGATATTTGGTTTTATAGATATTTATTTATAAATCTTCTATCTAAGAAGACACTGGTCACAGAGAGTGAGAGTGATAGTTACTAAAGCTAGTCTAAGGGTTTGACTCTTCTTTCTCTCCTTCCAATCTTAGGGCTTTTGCAGGTGACTATCTCATCCTCTAAGAGTGACTTTAAAAGATTGGGCTAGCTGAAACAGGACATTTAAATGACTTATGACTTTGAGATAGAGTAGAGCAAAAGGCTGAAGGTCTGATTGCCCTCTTCCTCTTCTTCTTGTGATATTAGACCTACTCTACTATTACTTCTAATAAACAGGTTCATTTTAACATCTCAGTAGCCTCTATAGGCAAACATATTGGTAGAGCTTCTAGTTATTTCAAATCCCTGACCTATAATCCTTAATATGAGCTACTATTAATGCAGCCTCGCACTCCCTCACACTCTGCTTATAGGGATTCTAATGCTAATCTTACCTTGGAATAAAGCATTCAAACCATATTAACAGATAAAAGAGCTAGATAGGTCAGTGGTGTGAAATGCATATCCATACATATAGTGTATATATGTTCTATGAAACTGATATTAGTTATATCATCATAGAAGTAGAATAATTGCATAATATCTTGGAACTTTTGATTATGTACATAAATATGAAGCTTAATATTGTATTAGAAAATGAATATCCCAGTTAAACTCTCTAACTATCATATAGATGTCCCCACACTTTGGTCTCCTTCATAATCTTTCAGAGACATCTAAGTGAGCCCTTTATTTATCTAGCTCAGTTTAGTCTTATATTCAACATAGGTTATTGACATAGAAAATTTCTTACAGCTTTCCTACATATTCTCCCTCTAGAAGAGTCTTATATTTAATGTAGCATACTGAAAGAATTTGTTTCCTGCTATCATCTATCTTTCTATTATTCACCGCTAAGTAAACTAAGGTATATATCCTAATCTCTTACTTAGGTCATGATAATACATAAAAGTCAGAGCATGACACTGGATATGGTTGTTATTGACTTAGATAAAGCTTTTGTTAATGGTAAAAAGATTAATTGAAGTCACCTATTATATACTGAAATAAGAAGAGCAGCCCATATATGGCTTATATTATTGAGTGATACAAAGTTAATCAAGAGGCTTGACTCAAAATCTTATCAGGCTCTGCAAAGAATACAAAAAATAAGGGGCACACATGCCAACAAATGATAACATAGAAGAACATGTACCTGAGACTGGCAAAGACAAAGAAAAGATCCCTCTTCCTATAAATAATGAAGACCTCATGAATATTAAGAATGAGAAAGTAGGAGATTTTGATCAAATTATAGATAAAGGGATATCTCAGAGTAAGAATGATGATTTGCATATAAACAATAATACTGTCTCGTATTCTCATTCTTACATTGACCTGATGTACTATGCATTTTTGGTTGTTGTGACTTGTATGACTTATAAATTATGTTTCTTGGCAACTTGACTTCACATATTTATTCTCATCAAGTTGAGTCACTCAAAACATGTGGCATTGATTATTACATAGTACATGCTTCAGTATGATGCTGCATGCATTTTTGAAATGTAATACTGTCCATTACTTGCATTAAGACTGTTTTATTGGTCCACCCAGTGCCGAGACATGATACTAGTATATAAAAGGCTAGTGAGTTTGTGACTCAATGAATCACTAGACTCAGGCTTCACCTCTTTCTCTATTCTCTGTGCAGTTGCAATCATGCCTCCTTGTGCTATTAACAGCCCCAAGAAGAAGAGGTTGAAGCGCAAAGGCTTAGATGCTTCTGGCAGGGCAGGTGTACCAAAAGAATCTTGCCAGACTATGGACCTCACCGAAATACTCAGCATACCACTTGTTTCCCTCAGCCTTGCTGAAGCTGAAGATGGTGCTCCATGATGTTCCGGCCGTCCCAATGCAGGGACCAAGGTAGGAACAGCCAGCTAGAAAAAATTGGTGCAGTCCTTGAGTCTTAGTTTCTAAGTCATCCTCCCAAGGGCTTCTTGTCCCTCAGTCCTAATATTCCAGTGAACCCTCAGGCTCCGGAACCAGCTCATAAAGGACAGAAGGGTCTTCCAAAGGTCAGGCATGTAAGTATTTATTTTTGCTGATGCTGACATCTGCATTCAGGCAGTTCCTCCACCTTATAGTTTACTCACTGTTACCAATGGTCCTGTGAGCATTGATAACACAGGTCCTGGTTTTCCAATACACCAACCTGGCGGAAGGTTTGGTTTCATTGCTCCTCCCAGTGCTGGCCATAGTCTTCACAAGGCCAACAATCCACATATTGCTGTTAGCTCGAAGGCTGTCAAGAAGTATGCTATGAAAGTAGCTCATGATCCAAACCCACACAATATTGTACCACCACTCACCACTTTCATGAAATAAAACTTGGATCCAGCCCTTTTTGAGGAGGACAACAATGTCAAGCATCAATCTATACTGTGAGAATTTAAGCTGTTGAACAGCGGACCCAAAGGTAGCAGCACCAATGACAGCGATGACGAGAACAAGGATGAGGATAAGGATAAGGATGGGGAGAGGAAAGAGGACAAGGATGAGTCAGACAAGGATGAGCACACCAATGAGAATAAGTACCAATGTCATGATGGTCATCCAGGTAATTTCTTTTATCATACTAGGATTCACCTGATGTTGTTCCCTATTTCAATCTTACAGGATTTTCAAATGAATTGCTACCTTCACAGCCTTGAGTCATTCGTTATCTCCCACCTGAATTTGATTTTCAGTACTCCTGCAATGAGCATGACATAGCTGCTCAGATGAGCCTTAATGAAAACACTGTGCTCTACTTCCAAGGCTTCTACTTCTCAGAACCTTCCTAGTAAGGTAAGTAGCTTCTATTGGCCGCCGAACACCCTGTGTGAGTCACGATTGTTCAAAAATTTAAATTTTATTGGCCTTCAGTTATAATGCGTGTGCAGAAGCTTCAGCCACAAGAAATATGTTTTGTGAGAACAGACGATGAACAAGCATAGTACTATGTATCGCGACTTTCATCTACCGAGTCAGCCGAGTGAAACTTCTCCAAACCAGCCCATTCGCAATAGTCGTTGCAGACATGTTGTGCCTTGAACATGGTGACCACAACTTCTATGTTTCCTTTACTGAAAATATCCTGTCTGTCACTGACTGAGCTGATTATAATAGGATGTCAATAACTGCTGGAGCCAGAGATCAAGAATATACATACGGATCCGTCAATATTTGAGGATCAATCAGTAGTGAAGTGCTTCCTGAGGGTCAATGAGTTTTATCAGCACACTGGCAGGATTGTCGTTGGGTAGAAAAGTGCATACCTTGGTAATCAGATATAAATGCTAAACCACCAGTCTTCACATATTGAACATGTTGAGTGAATGCGAAGAATACTGCTAAATCATAGCCACAGTCAAGTTTGTTGAGCAAAGGATCAGTGTCCATGTTATGGATAAATTTGACAAATGCATCTTCGCTGCCATCAATGAGTTCTTTGAGGAGATAAGCTGCTCGAATAGGGCAGGGCTTCAACCCTGACATGATGCTTTTTGAGCCCAGCTTGCCAGAGGGAGCCGCTATGACTGCTTGACCTTGCACAAATCGTACTCGTGGAACTGGGAACGGAGGAGGACAAGAGGTAGCAAGGCGATGGTTGATGAAGTCATATGTAAGCTGTAAAAGGGAGCTTGCCCAGTATAGCACATTGGCTTCTCGAAAAAGCTTTGGCAATTCATCTACAATGGGAAACCTGCCGATCTTGAAGGCTTCAGTTGACCCACCAGCCTGTGACAAAACTCTGTGAAAGGGCCGTTTGACCACAATTTCATCGCGTGGAACTGAACTAAGCCCAGAAACTGGAGGAGGAGTGAGGGTGAGCCATCCTGGATGGGCCATCTTGAACCCACCCATCCCAATAGTGCTGTCATGGGATATGTCAACCATCAACTGGCCAACCCAAGACTCCGCAGTGTCGAGTGTAAATGAGCGATAATCCTTGTTTCGTAAGATCTCTGTTAGAGGGTGATTAGGGATGGGGTAGAAATGGATGGTTTCATTCTGTTTTTCGAATACTAGTACAAACACTATTAGTTTGTGAGAAGGATATAAGCATAGCACTCGCACCTTTCTTTACATTGAGATTTGCTGTACCACCTGATTTGAGGGCTGCTTTCAAGTCATCATGGTCAGGCAAGCGGAACACAACTACTGGGGCAATCTTTTTGTGTGGCAGGGATGAAGGCAAAGCACTATGACTGCTTTCATTTTGCACATGAGTCTGCTTAGATATGCCAGTTGGCTGTATGTGAGTCTAAGTCGGAGTGTCTGTAGTGTCCTCAATTGCATCATTCCACGTGGTACGGCTGGTGGTATGGCTGGTAGCAGCCTGAAATAATATGTCCAATTAAGCAACAAGTTGATGGCATGCAAAACAAAACATGACAAGTTACCTTTTCTGCAACTCATTCCACCCAGTCTTCATATTCCAGCCAGCATGTTTGAGGTGCAACTACCATTAATGCAAATTGTTTGGTCTTGAAGATTACTGTCTTTGAATCTTTGTGGCTTGCTTGTAAGCATTGATCGAGGAAGAAAGGTTGTCCAGCTTGGTGAGTCAAGAGGTCTACCCATTTGCTGTCCCGCACAACAAACTCGTCGTCATACCAAACAAAATCAGCACAAAAGGTCCAGATCTTTGGCAGGATGGTATCGAGTGTGATTGTCATAAGTCCAGGTGCATCAATACGAGCATCAATATCTTTTATGCCCTCGCAAATATTCTAGAGATATATCGTATATCGTGCATTTAGAATAACTAAACCAAAACCCCAAAGATAAAACACATACCCCAATGGTAATGCTATGACTACCCTCTCTGACAACTCCCATCCACTAGGACCCTCATGTTATTCTCCTGCTTCCTACTTGCTCTCTCTCTCGCTTGCTTACTCTCTCCCACTTGCTACTTGCTCCTCTCGTTTGCTACTTACTCTCTCCTGCTCACTACTTACTCTCTTGCTCGCTAGTACTCATTGTATCATTTACTCCCTCTGAAATACAGTGTTTTGTGTTTATGATCTTAACAAGTGTGAAATAAGTTTGGAAAGTGTACAATAAGTATAATAAGTATCTTTGAATTGTGCTACTGGCACAGCTCACAATGTAGGAATAAGTACAAAATAATTGCCAAAAAAGCTAAAATAAGTTTGGAAAAAGTTGAAGTCAAGAGGAGGCATCTGTCTTGTGGCAAGTTCATAGCAAGTTGGTGTCACTGTTCTTATGAATGGTTTTTCCGCTCCTTTTTGGGAATTATCTGGCGGCAAGTTGCAAAAAAGGAAGGTCAAGAAATGTGTGAATTTACTAATGCATATTTTGCAACTTACAAGCCAGACCTTGTGTGGGAGCGGAAGGCACAACATTTGAAAAGGAAACATTTTTGGGCTGCAGGGGTGAATGACTTATTTGCCATAAATCAGCACGATAAATGGTTAATATTCGGTCTTGCACTGCATACCGGGATTGAGCCATTCTCAGGGTGCATCGTGTGGATCTGTGTCTGGCATTCTAACAGGAATCCACAGCTTATCCTCAGTTACTACTTAGACACCATTCAGGCTCTTGGTCATAAGTGTTTCTATATATTACTTGCAATGGTTCACATTATTTCTACTTCAGATATGCCTATGGTGATGCAAAGCGATCCTGGTAGTGAGAATTATGGTATTGCGAATGGGCACACTCCAACATTGTTGGATGCAAACGAAGAAGAATGTAATGCCTGAGATTACATGGTCGCAATTACATAGATGTTTCACTCCTGGCTTCAAATCAATACTGGACCGAGGAGTCAATGAAGATTGGTATGACAGTAGCAATACTCTCCAAGTGTGAGTTTTCTGTTCATGATATATCAAACATTAATTATTGTCACTTCAGAATGATATTCCATTGGGTCTTCATTCCTTGGCTACAACACGAACTCGATGCATACCGGGACCGCGTGAACAATACAGCAAAGAGGCTTGATCGCAACAAGGTGACTAAATAGCATGACTCACTGTGTGAGCCACTAATATTCAATTCCTACTGTCAGGTACTCCCTCATGGTGTCCCCAATCTCATTTATGACTCACCTGAAGATTTCGGGGCCTTGGACTTCAAGGTATGTCATCATATGTCCTTCTAGGTTCTTTTTCAACACTATCATCAGATCACTGTAGAACGAGCTGCTATTGATCACATTCGGGGAGTCTACATTAATTCAAGCCACCCTGTCTTTGACCTCGTGCCGCCCAACCTGGGCAATTATATTCAAATGTGCTACGAACAAATGGGCTGTCCTGTCATTGACCACAACTCAGCATAGACTGTGTATCACGATTTGCTCAATAAGCTCCAGCACAGCGACAACTCAGCATTGCTTGATGTCTCTGGTGACGAAGATTCAGATGAGGAGCTGGGGGATTTACCACTGCTCAATAACCATTAAGATCTGCCATTCAACGAGGATGGTTATTACATGGGTGGTGTTGGTGGTGGGTTGGGGCTGGGTAAGACATCTCATCCTTTCAACTCTCAAGGCTCTTTGTTAACTGATGTCCTCGTGTTAGATACCGTGCACCATCAACAGCTGGATAGTCTTATCGAAGAGGATGAGCCTGACAATTCTGTTGATGGAGATGTTAACCTTGATCATGACGGTCTTGTTGTTTGAGATTTCTCAGACAATGAAGATGATGAGATTAGTAACGCTGATCAGTGGTAACCGATAACCTACAGACTATTTTTCTTGTTATAATTTATATATGTTCTCCCACAACTCTACCTCCCACATCTTGGCGCCCCAATGTTTGTCATCGAGTCTATCATTGTCGATACAGCGGCAGAGCTTGATCTTCAAGCAATAGCAAAGTTATAAACTATGTAGGTGGAAAATTACTTGTATCGAAGATCATAGTGACATGAAAAATGGTTGCACAGAGTGTCTGGAGGCCAATAGAAGCACTTACCTTACTAGGAAGGTTCTGAGAAGTAGAAGGCTCAGAAGTAGAGCATGGTGGTCTGGCTTTCCATAGAGATGTAGACAAACAGCACAAGGAACAAGGATGTTTGAAGATGGATACTAAGAGTATATGAATATTAACAAAAAAATTTGGAGAGTTGCTCGAAATTGTACTTACTTGGTAGTGCAAACAAGCAACAATGATCACAAACTAGTAGAACGAAAGTGCTTGAGGACGAGGGGCTAAGAGTGTATGAGTTATCAATGAATGGGACTTAAAAGTATTTGTACTTATGTGCAAATACTGACAAGCAGACAATGACATTCATATCATATTTGGTAGCATCAAAATGTCAAAATGTTTCGAAGATAGTGGCTAATCATGTAAGAATATTAATGAATCATGTAAGGGACTACATGGATGCATACTTACATACACATACATGTACATATACACAATCAGTGCATATGGACTAATAGGATTGAATCGAAACAAAATCTATGAATTAAGTGTTGCATATGAGTGCTTTTGACAACATTGTTTGTGTAAGCGACTTACATGCAAATGTGTACAAACAATTAAACACATACATTGGCAGACAGTGTCAAATGCATTCACAGCAAAAGGACTATGAACAAATTTGACTGCAATGAGTGACTTGTTGACATTTACATAGGCTTGTACTTACTTGTAGACACAGACAAGCCAAGCAAGCGCACATGGACATCTTCAAAGCAAAAAGAATCATAAGACTTGAAACATCAGCACATGTTCATTTGTCCTCTTCGAAAATAAATAAATATATACCTTCACGACTAACAACGAAGCCACATAGACACAACTGAAAGACCAAGGAGCAAGGACTAAAGAGAACAATAGTTTGAAGTGAGAACTATAAACATGTGAGTGACTTGATGGTATCTGCATGTACTTGTACTTTTGTACAAACACTAACAAGCAACAATGGGCACTGGCAGATGTTTTTAAGGCGAAGGTCAAAATGATCGTGGAATATGAATGTACATCAAATGAGAGGGACTAAGGACATTTGAGCATTCAATGATAAGCTTGGAATTTTTTGTACTCACATGTGAGTACAAACACAAATGAGCATACACAGAGTTAAAGGATGTAGATGTTTGACACAAAATACGAGTGCACGCAAATAAGCAGGCACATGCTAACAGGACTAATGGATGAGGACAACAAGGACTTTGAGTATATGGATATTAACGAGCAACTAATTTGGGCTTAGTAACAAAAGGACTTACTTGAGAAAGACCAAAAATGTAACATACAAATGTAAACAAAAGACTTGGTGATCCAGGATGCAAGATGCTTGAAAGATACTAATAATCCAAAAGAACCTGAAAAGAAATACACTTGCAAAGAGCGTGGGAGGAAAAATGTTTCTAGTGTTTGAGCACCAGACTTGAGAGCAAATAATTAGTATCTTTGAAAATATGCATTAAACCTGGTCGTTGGGTGCCAAAGTCTTATTGGTGCTTGCATTCATGTGTCGCAAGGACCTTCCCAATAGATTCTTCAGCCTTGATGCATGTTCCATAGAGGTGGTTGAGGAGAAGATCCTGAAGGAGTATGTTGACAATGTCCTTGTCTAGTATTATCAGCTGTAGAATAGTGTCAGTAGCACACGCAGCTTTGTTGTACCCATAGAATCATCAATAGTTTGTGGCTGAGTGCAAGAATGCAGACTCATGTCATGTTAGGAAGGGATTGCAAAAGGGAGTGTGTTGCAAAAGGAATGCAGCTCAGTTGACCCAAGCTGGGAGAGCACGATCTCACTCAATGAGAATGATACAGATGTCGACCTCATTGCAGTCTTTAGCCTGCTCAGGGGTCAGTATACAGTAAATATTGTGAATGAATTTAGTATGGAGGCAGATATACTATATATAATATTAGATGGAAAAAATCTCCATCTAGCTAGAGGGACTGTGCTGGACTTTCAAGGAATATTTCTAAACAGAATATTCATTAATCCTGAAGAATTTCCCTTTCCACCAGCTGTTATAATTGCTGTAGGTGTCTGGTCCTAGTAAGAGCCTAATTCACGCTGCAACCATGGAATGAAGACCTAGTGAAAGACCATTCTGAAGAAACATTAATCAATGCAACATATTGAAACTTGAATCACATACACTTGAAGTGTATTATCACTGTCATACTAGTCCTGTTTGACTCTGTGGTCCAGCAGGGACTCAAAACCCAGAGTGAATTAATATTGCAGTTGTGACTATGTAATCTCTGGCATGACATTTTTCTTGGTTCACATCCACCGATGCTGTAATGTGCCCTGTAGTGAAGGATTCTACCATTGGTGCAACATAGTATGGCCATTGGCGATCCTAAAATTTTCACCCCAGGGTCGCTCTGTGTAACCAAGGGCATATCTGTTGAGGACATTAGAACATTGTGACAATTTCTGAATCAAGATACTCACAAAACCAAGGTTCTCAATAGTATCTAGATAGTAGCTCAAAATGAGCTGCAGAATTTGGTTGGAATGCCAAACTCACACCCACATGATGCAGCCAGAGAAAGGTTCAATTCTGGTGTGCAATGCTAGACCAAACCACGGCCATTTGTCATGCTGATCTACTGCAACTATATCATTCACTCTAGCAGCCCAAAAGTGCCTCCTTTGTAGGTGGCAGGCCTTTCGCTGGCAAATAAGATCGGCTTCATAGATGGCAAAGTAAGACTTTACAACACTCCTGTTGAAGTGTTCATCCAATAGGAACAATCAGAAAAGGTAAGAGTTCGTACCTTGATACACTCATACCCTCCTCGTGGTATAGTAAGCTAATGATCTCTCTCATTCTGGCCTTGGGATACATTTCACAAAGTTCAAGCATGGCATCACAAATAGACTCAACACTGTGGCCTTGCTGGCATGTGTGCAGCAGCCCCATGTCCATACAAACCTGAATAAATTTAGTTAATCCAATTCCATAGCACTTGGTATCGATTTCTTTTCATAAGGCTTGGACTATCTGCTTGTCCATTAGATGCAACTTCCATAGCCAAAGGATGTAGGGTGCAATGTCAGCCAAAGGTGCTGGAACATCTGAGTCAGTGTCAATGCAAGGTCAAATATTGGAAGATGAACATGTGGGTTTATTCTGGTTGGGCATTTTCAGTTGAGCCCATGAAGGAGCCCATGAAGTTAGCATATTTATACTGACGATTCCTTGACCGCTGTACATTGAATGTATATTGAAATGGCATAGGAAATGTCTTACTAAACTTGTTGCTGGTAAGTCAAGTTCTGGCACAATGTCTATAACTAACAAGCATTTTCAGTTCGCCCTACTCCAGGCTCTGCCAGTGGTGGCGGTTTTGGCTTCACTGGTTGAGGCCCTCCAGATCCACATGTCATTTGGTAGTCAGTGAATGCAGGCCAAAGAAAATGTAAGTCGTCATATAAATTACCTGGTATAACGATATCTGGACTGATTTTCTAAGTGTCAGTCAATCCACCACCAGTGATACCTTTGTCCCATGGACAGTCCGAAATTTCTGCAGGGCCTCATGCAATTCATTCACAACACAGACTGCAATCCTCTCCTTGATCCTGGCAAGGATGGGTACAATACAGCACTTTTCTTGGCATTTACTCAATATGTTCAGTATGAGAAGACAGGGGATTGGCATATATCTCCGACTGTCAGGGTGTGTAAAAGTTACTTATGTTTGTTTTGCTGGCTGACATGGTGTGCTACCACAGGTAGCACAGAGTTGCTGACAGACCTGCAAATATTAATGCACCTGTATGTTCTCCAGCTGTGACCTTACTTCCAACTATTCATATTCATTCCAGGTCTGTTTCTGAAGGCAATGATCTTTTTGGTAATGGAAATATTGAAGATGTGGTGAGCCAGTTTGAGAAGAAAAAGTGTGCAACCATTACTGTGAATGGTTCAGTTTTGAGTTGGAGGCATATGGGAGGCAAGCTTGATATTGAACTCGCTGTATCTTAATGTTGTTACATCTGATGTCATGTTTTGTTACATTTGTACTATTGTCATTGAGTTTTTTTGGTCCAATAACCTCTTGCAAACTGCCACTTGTGATTCACGGTGGCAGGTGTTCCGTAGAAGCATATGCATTATATGGTACATCAGGAGAAGCATGCACATGAAAAATTAAGCATGGTTGTCTGGCATTCCATAGGAAAGGCTTGTACACAAGACTTCAGTACTACTACCAGCACTTAGGACTGACTTCATAGGTACATTTGTTAGTTATATGATCATTCACCTCTACAGTATACATTTCTATGTCTTTTATGTGTCTAATTGTGACATTACACTTACAGTATCATCTCTTATACTTTGCTACCTATTTACATGACTTCCTGACCTCCTGAGGACGTCCCTGCCCCTAGGTCGAGTTATTACTTACCTTTGGATTATGGCTTGTCTGTTTACAAGCTTACTAATCTTGTGCATTGTTGTTACCTACCCTTCTCCAGCACCATGAAGCAGCAGCCTCTACGCTCTACTTTGTGATATGTCACCATGACAGTCCTTTGCAGCAGTGGCCTCCAAAGCATGTCTGCTGGGATCCTGCATATTCAACAAGATTGACTCAATGCTGAGCACCAACTCACTGAGAAATCAACAGTGAGTGATCAGTCCTTTGTTATCTTTGATTTCTCAACAGCAGAACAGGTTCACATGCACAGTGGGCAGCCCTATCCACTGATGCAGCTCTGGAGATGGGATCCAGCATGGATACCACTAATAATATCTTCCATAACCATGACCATTCATATGACAACATTCTTTCTGCAATTCAAGATTCTGATTCTGATGATGACAGCGGCAGTGAGGATGATGAAGAACACAGAGCTGTATATTCAGTGAAGGACAATCTCTTCTTAGAATATGTGTGGCTCTATTTAAATAGCAGGTGTGTCTTTTTGCGCCTTCCTCTACACATCTCTTTTGACTCTTTTTTTAGTTTCCAAAAATGCTGTTATGATCAACGGACATGTATAATATACCATGCAAACATGCACTATGCATGGAACTTACAGCTACCAATACTCACTAATACTTATCTCCACTGGAAGCACATTGGTTGACATAGCTTCAATGTTGAACCTGACTCACTAGCTTATTAATTTCATATCAGTGTTGTGGATGTGTTTGGTATGTTTTTTTAATGCAAAATATTAATAGTTTTCAGCATCTATCTGCTAGAGTTCTAGCCAGTCCACACCATTACACAACACGAAGAAGAAGCTGCAAACACTGCACTAGTTTGCATAGGCTTGCTTGGTTGTTCTCCTACTATGCCATCTGTCGCTATCATGCTACAGTGCCTAGAGTTTTATCACCAGCTTTGATGACACCAATCATCTTTTAGCATTCAAGCATTCACTAAAATCTTGTGTGCCCTATATAATGTATGTCTCAGTGGCTTGGCAGCTAAAACTTTTTGCTAATCCTAATTCAACTAATGAGAACACTGTTAGTGTCTTCGAGCAGACAGAAATCTTCCTATTAGTGTGTCGACACAGGATGGTTCAAACAATCACAAAGATATGACATAGTGGTGAGCTGTATGTTGTTATACAAACTATTGCAATATATCACATACTGATGTATATAAACAGTGTAAAGTATCTCCTCGCTACTATCAACAAATTATTAGATGTTTTTGGCACATAATCAGGCCATTGGCAGTAACATCGGCTGCAGTTTGTCAAAAGTCTGATTGTAAAGCACTTGTTTGAACTATCAAAACCTAATCTAGCATCAACAGGAATCCACTCTGCACTCAATAAGTATAACAAACTCACTATCTTGCCAAATCCCCAATGACCCACACTACAATATAGTGAAGTCATATTATACGCAGTGCTTGGCAAGTTTGACCTTCTCAAATATTCACGACACGAGATACTCACCAAACTATGAACATTCAAGGTTCTCCATGCTCAGAAGGAGATTATTAGACTCAATATTGAAATTTGCCAGTTGTAAGCATGGATTGATACTGAGGATGCTAATATGAAACAAGTGGCTGCAGATCTCAAGTCAACAAATGGCCCACTTACAACTGAATTGCACATGTTAGCTCATTGTCAGCACAGAATCAACACTGTACACCATGATTGCCTCATGCACATCTATTGCCTAGAAGGATACACTGGTCACCGCCCCATCACTAGCTCAGATAAGGGTAATTCCTTAGATAGTAAGAATGCAAACATTGGGGGGTTAGATGGTGAAGATGGCAAGGAGGTAGACATTGGAGAGTTAGATGGTGGAGAGGCAAGAAGGTGGCACATTTTGAGGCTTGCATAGAACAAATGTCGCAGTCACTGTAGTTGCTGATGGTTATCCACAAAAAGCAAATAGAACTTGACCTGAATGAAAGAATATTATATGAGTGAAGAACTTTAGATTATGACTTTGGGATGGTCACTAATTCATTTCCCAAGCTTGATATTCAAGGCTTGGATCTGGAGAGTACTCATCCTCCTCATCTCTTCTTTTTCAAATGAGGGGAGGAAGTAGCTAAGGTCAGAGTTAACTGTCTCTATAATATTGTACTGCACCTTGTCATTGATGAGGTACATGTCATTCAAGGTGCAGTAGTAGCTTGCTGATATTCTTATACAATCATGATGCACCTGGTGATTTCATCATATGGCACGTACCTGTAATGATAACAGATGTTTTTCATACTGTTGAGTATAAGGCAGTTGTGGAGCTTTGTGTGATTAATTCTAAACAAACCAAAAAATCACTCACATGCTGCTGCATTGGGAATCACTGAGAGTAGTTGTATTACAAATTTCACAAAGCTATTATGACTAGTGTCAGTGTGTTGGTCAATTCCTTTCCAAACCTTCATGAGCTTGGTTTGACCATCTCGTCGATGACAATGAGTTTTGAACTTGTAAAACTCAAGCACCTTTGACCAGCTTCATCCTTCTAGTTGGCCATCCTCAACCTTGTGTCCAAGGCTGATGGTTCTTGGTAGTACTTTACCAACCATGGGTTGTGTTCATCTGTGACTTTTCCAGATACACAGATGTCTAGAACAGCATGGATCACCAACCTCCTTCAATACACCTCAAGTCATTCTAATAAACAAATTGTAGTCTGTATTATAACTGTTGTATATCTAACACAGTTAGGCTTTATTGCACGAATCTTATGCAAGTATAAACTCACTCTTAAAGGAATCTGCATAGGAAGCTTTCCCCCTCCCCTAATATGTTAGTTATATGATCATTCATTTCTACAGTACACATTTCTATATCTCTTATGTGTCTAATTATACCATTACACTTATGGTATCATTCCTTACACTTTGCTACCTATTTACATGACCCCCTAACCTTCCTAGGACATCCCTATCCCTAGGTCAAGTTATTACTTACCTTTGGATTGTGGCTAGTTTGTTTATATTTGTTTACTATACATCACCTATATCTCAGAGTCCAGCGCTTCCTGCCTCTTTGGCAATTTAATCTGTATAACTTCAGTATACCATTCAATACATTGGCACTTTACTTTGGACTCTAGTCTGATCTCTTCTGGTCTCTCAGCAGCCTCTAGAAGCAGCCCACTTTACTTCCATCTTAACAATGACTAATTTGTACTCAGTGGAAGGTTCCAAATTTCCTTCCCACATGGCAACTTGTCAAATGTATATGCATGCCAAACAGGAAGTAAGTATATCCCTCCAATCAGACATGGTGACTGTATTGAGCTATAGGGGCCAGGAATGAAGATCTTGATAAGATAAGATTAAAATATATTCATTTCCATCTTCATTTTATTAAGTTCCAATACACTAGTGTTAGGTGTTCCACATGCTCCGTCCATAGCCTCACATAGCCTTGCACTGCGCTGACTGATTTTCTGTTATGTCCTCCATAGTATATGAACCCTGTAGAAACTCCTGTATTTGCTTAGTCTGAATATTACACATATTAGTCCTTGCACTAGACCTCACACTAAGACCTCATACTAGTTCTAGTCCTCCAACTTAGTCAATATCCATCTCAGGCCTAGGGAGGAATTCCTTAGGCCAGAGCTCCAATCCTCCACTCCTCCACTCCTCTGAGTTTCCAGAAGTTCCTCCACAACTTTCCCATAGTACTCCGGACCTATTCTGCTTCAGACTTTGTCCCTGCAGCCTTTCCTCTGTCTCCATTCTACTCAGGATTCATTCTGAGTAGTCATTACACATATTTGTACCAGGATGACACCTCATAGTAATTTCTGGAACTTTCCTGCACCCCTCCGGAAGTTTCTCGCACTCATCCAGATCTGGACAGTCCTTCTGGACTTTCCCGTGCTCCTTCGGAAGTCCTATGGACTTCCTCCAAATGTCATCTGAATTAAGGGCACATACTCGGGTAAGGGGTGCAGCGCACGAGCTGAAGCCAAGCCCTTCGGAACCAGTCCTACCCTTTGTGCACGGTCTTAACAACAACCCTGCTATCAAACTTTCTATTGGTGGATAACATGTTGAGGTAGGTTCAAGTTTTGTGATCAAACCTTACATTTTTACTATACTCTATACATTTTATGTCAGCATGGATGATGGGCAAGTCAAACTCCATGTGACCATATGGCCATCTTTAATCTATTAGAACACATCATATCCTGCAAGCAATACTCTCATTATATCCCCCTTACTAATTTCATTGCTGTTGTAATAACCTTATATATGCTTGGTAATTGACAAAGACCTTAGTGGGTCCACAGTCTGCAGCTGTGGACTTTTGTGGCAAGGAGAAGATGATCTATTTATACATCATTTTATGATAATGCCTTACATACATGATCCCTTGCTGGCCATCATGTTGCTGTGTTATACCCTTGCTATGAATGCTTGATGATACGCTAAAGTTGTAGACATATATATATGCTTATGCATCAAAGCGAAAATATTTCTTTTATATTCTTTCTATAGTTATCATGGCTACATGATCATAGAGTCATGAATCCACTGATGGTTGTGTGATGAAAAGACATGCAGAGTTGAAAAGAGAATAAGTGAAAGCAACAAGAAAAGGCCAAGAATATTCTAAGTAAAGACCTGAAACATACTGGAAAAGACAGATCAAGATACATTTATTGTTGCAGTTCTTATGAACCTATATGTGTACAATAGTATATTTGACACCATTCATGTTGCACTTACCCTGAATGAGTTGTATGCTGCTGTGAAGCAACTCTATAAGCAGTTCCACAAAGGGTGCAGAGCCTGATTGCAGCTTTTTAATGCATTTTTTGATTATCTGGACTGCACACCAAGTTCTTGCAAAAACCATGTACTTGAAGAAATTTGAATGTTGCACAAAAGCAAAGAAGCTTGAGAGTTTGTACCTTGAGTTCTGAATGATATCAACACTAAATTGTGCTATAGTCAGATTCTTTCTATATCAGAAGTGATGACGAGTAGACTCACTCACAAACTGACAGCACTGAGCAGTGCTGTAACTGGCATGTACTAATACTAACCTTGTCTTGTAAATGACTGAAACTTGAATGCTTTCCTGTTGATTATTCTCATGATTCAATCAACTCGTGATAGGTTTCCAAGGGAATGTTAGCTCCAGCAAAAGAGCCCTAGAAAGTCAATACACTAAAGATATCCTGAAATGTGTAGACACTGTTTTAGATTGCATGGAGACCCTTAGGCCCTCACTGTCTTGATTTTGTCAATATATTATCATTGCATTGACATGACAGCAATCAATGTATAGCTGCTCCAGATGCTGAGCTCTCCTATCTCTAATATCATTGACATGAGATCAGATGTATGAACTCACAGACCAGGTCAAGAAAGGTAGGTAAGCTGGATATACTTGGCAGTATCTATAGAGTTTATACAGATTATGTCAATGATATCAGAGATAGAAAGATAAGAGATAAGGTGGACAGCCTACTTAGATACAAGATAGCAAGAATAGCCAGTCTAGACTAGTGGCACAGTCATAAGGTAGAAAATTAATATAGGGGTCTAGAATGTTATTGTAACAGATATTAATGTGATAGAGCTATTTTTGTCAGCTGGCTCATTGTCATCTGTATTAGCGTCACAAGTAGTTTGAATCAGGGACAGTGCACCTGATTGACAACATTCTTATAATTTGTCTGAGATTACCTTCATCCAGAATCAATACTTTACACTCCAGCCAATGCTTCCAAGTGGCAGTATTGTATCATGTTTGAAGAATCTCAATTTTCTTTGACAGAGTGAATGTCTTGCCTGTTCCTGGAAATCATCAGGCCAAGTCAGTAGACAGAGATTGAGCTTACCCAGATCACCAGTGAGGAAAAAACTATGCAGGTCTTAAGTCAAGTTCAGGACTTTGAGTTGTTTGGGATCTGGCTTTAATGAGTCTATATTTAACAAGTGTGTGGTCAGAAGATTATAAAGACATTGGGAGGCATGATTGAAGCCTATAATTGCGCAAATTTTATGGGTCTCCTCACCTGATGCTTGTGGCTGATTCAATATTCCTTCATTTGACTCTGCACTCATACTTCTTTTCTCTGTCAACTTCTTTCCTCTCATTTTAACTTGCTAAGACTTCTCGTCGTAGCTGAGAAGTCAAGGATTCAGTGCATCTGAAATTTTGATGAGGATTTGTGCTTTCATGGTATCCCAGGGCTCATCAAGATTGAGTATAAAGGTTTGATTCCTTGAAGTATGTTTGCTCATAGGTTTTTTTATCTCAGCTGCAGAGGTGATGCTCATGATAAAGGTAATCTCTTTTGCCTTTGCCAGAGGCTCAGGTCAGAAGGTGCTGACCTTTATGCTAGTATCTAGCAGAAAATTTATATACAGGCACCACTCAGATATTTGAAAGAGGATTATGGTAGAAAGATATTGAGGTTGAGAAAAAGCTAATCTGAACTTAAACAAGTAGGATTCAAGTGGGCAAAGGAGTTAGTGGAAGTTTTCTGAAGCTTGGTTTCAGCAGATCAAAGATCAATTAGGCAGTGTACTTCAAATGGGTCTCTAAAAGTCACCAAAGTTACTATAATCACCACACAGAATTCACCAAACTTGCTAAAGTCATCAAAGTCACTAAATTTCTTACCATTTCCAAATTTGCAGATGTCAGAAGTTGCCAATGTTAGTAGTCACTATGATATTGTGATATCCCAACACAGCCCACAGTCTTTCAGAGCTTTAGTGTCATTGCCTACATCACTACTTTCTGCAATTGAACTTCCTTCTACTCCAGACAACTCAGAGCTCAAGAACATAGACCCTATATCATGCTGCCTCTATTTTCAGTATCAACTCTCTACTCCCCATGAAATTCTCCATGCTATCCCTACCTTCTTTCTATAGTTACCTTTACAACCACAAGAAGCAACTTTATGCCCTTGAATATACCAAAAGATTAAGAATGACATTTCACAGTCTCATAGGTCTGGTCAACCTATTTTATGAAATATGCTCTGGTACGATACAAAAGTGCTAAGCCTACTGGTGCTTCACCCACACTTTCACCATCTCATACTCTTATTAAATCTAGCCTCTGTGAGGTACACATATATGATATAATTAATGCACTAAAACCCAAAATGCATGGATAGGAATGGTGAATGGAATATTTTATCCCTCTTCTTTCAAACATTCCACCTTCAACCTGGCCACCCCAAAAACAAAAAAGAGCTTTGCACTTGTGTCATGATTAACTAATTTATTATAGAAGACATTAGACCAAGTCCCTCCGATCTGAATTCAGACAGTCTTCACACTGATTGAACACACTTCTTGAGGCCAGAAGGTATTGCTCAAACAAAGGGAGGTTCCAAGGAGAGCTCAAGTATAAAGATGCAAAGAAAGAGTTCAAGAGCAGATACTGAAAACATTTCCAGCTGTTTTCATGTTGATAGACCAGAATTTAGAAAATTCATTCAGCTGCTTTTGTTTGTTTTTGGAGTGACACCAAACAGAGGTGCTCTATACTAGCTGCTTTTGTACATGTCTAACCTGACTTGGACTTGTGGGGCTTGTGTGGCCCTGTGGGGTACAGTAGATATGCTCATAATGCATACTGTCGGGACCATCAATAGTTTATGCATTATGAGAGATATGCAACACCACATATGTCACATTTCTGTGACACATGTGACCTCTGCCAAAAGTGTGACATCAAGTATCTGCTGATTATACCAAGAAAAATTGTCCTAGAGAGGTCTGTCTAGCATTAAGTAGTGCTTCTCGTCGTAGTTGAGCACGAAATATACGAAATTGTGATGATAAGTTGAGTGAAAACTGTGGATTACCATATTGCATGCATCCAACTTCAAGTTGCTGGTACAAATCAAGAAGATCTGTCTGTGTGATTGATGCAGCCGCTGAATTGTCGTCATCATCAGAATTAATCTCAATGACTTCACCACTTCACGATGGACCTTATCTGCAATGGCTTTGTCGCCACCTTCGAATGCGGGAAACTCTCCCATATCTGTCTCCTCGGCAGGGTCCAGGAGTTCATCAAGAGTTGGCAATTGACCAAAAATACGATTGCACACCTTGAAATTGTTAACAGATTGCATAAGGTCAGCTTCAGTGGAGGAAGTTGGTCATCTGCTTGCTGTGGACGTGCAGGAATACAAATTTTGAGCCTAGTGTGATGAGATGCAGCTTCTGCGAGTGCATTTACAGCGTTCAAGGCAATATCTGTGTCTCCTTCAGCATCCATGATGGCTTTAAGAGCTGGTTGCCAATCTGAATCTATATAGTGTTCACAAAGCTGAGCCTTTAGGTCATTCTCGACTGCTGGAAGGGACATTTCAGTGGTCGCAAACTTGCGGATGATATTCCATGCGGCAGGATTGACATGAGGCCTCGAGTCTAGGCCTACTGTTGGATCACTGCCACGAAAAATTGAGCACTGAAAATGAGAACATCAAATAATTGACTCATGGTTGGATTTCAGTGTGATTCCAGCAATGTTTGATGGTCTCAGATGTAATGGTGTACCATGCCTGCTTTGCCATTGTCATACCTTCGAGAATGTTGAGTTTGCAAATGTCTCATTCACCAGCATCATCAAGAACAATTGCACGCATGCAAAAATTACGGTGATATATTGCCTTGAAGCATTGAATTATTCCAGCATCACATGGTTGCACAAATGGTGTCATATTGGGCCCAAAATACTCGAGATCGATGTTTGATGGTTGATACGAGATGCTGTGACCAGAGAAGTTATCAATAAACATGCAAATGTGCTGGTTTTGTCGCTTCATTTGAAGATCAAACTTTTTAACCCATCTAGACAGCGCATTAGACATCATTGACAGTCACAGGATCATGTTAACATACTCTTCAAATAGAACTGCTGTCATCCAAGCCTTCTTATTGTTTTGATAATAGAACCTGCACTGTTCTGGTGACTGCTTCTTGAAACATCATGGTTTCTTTGCCTTGCCAATAAAAATAGGCTTGAGCCTCTCACTCCCATCTGCATTGCAAGCTAACCCAATGGATATGCGAAATTTCTCCTTCTTCTTGCCATTCATTTGTCATGTTGCGAGACCACGAGCTGGAGGTGTGCTAAAAATGAATAAATTAAGCACTGCAAATTACAAAATGAAATGAACACTCACTATGGAAAGAAGGATGTCTTGTCGAAGTTCCACTGATTTGAGAAGCAAACTTTGCTAAGATCCTGCGACAACATTCTCGTTCTGCAGCAACAGCTTCAGTGTCCACAGATCCAGATTCCCCATGCTGTTGGTACTCACAGATCTTGTAGGTTTTGCAAAATGACTGAATCCATGCTTCCCCTAACAGCCTTTCATTGTCTGGGACATCAAACTCGTCCTCAAACCTTTTCTGTTTCTCTTGTAACATAGGCCCAGTCACTGTTTCATGTTTGTTTTCCATGTGCCTGATCCACAGAATCAAGGCACGCTTGACATCAGGTCTGGTGACAACCCTTGGCCATTTTGATGACAATGCATTAGGGTTATCATTGACACGGGCTTCCATTTTGGACCTTTCCCTTAACTTGTGAGACAAAGTTGACTGTGTGAAAATGAGAGCACCGGATTTGAGAGATTTAAAGTGTTCTACAATTTGGGCTTGTGTGACATTAGGATGAGAGTTGATGAATGAATAGACCATCATCCAGTCTGAAAGAGTGAGATTTTGACGAGAAGAGCATTCAGGTGAAAGAGCTAAAGTTTGAGGAGTGTCCTTTGTGATGATTTTTCGCTGTTTCACAGGTCAGGTTGTATGCTGTGGGCTTATCACTGGGGTTTCCACTTCAAGTTTAGGGACATTTTTGTGTATGATACTGTTGTAATTACTTGCTAGCTTCTATACATAGTTCAAAGAAACAATGCCACACAAGCGGAACAATACATTTATGCAGTACCTTATGTCCCACCCTATTAATTTCGCACTTCATAATGCATACAAGCCATGCCAAGGCCATGCATTATGCAATATGCAATATGTAAACAATTACATATGAACATCATCAGGATTCTGAAAAGTTCATGCATTATGAGATTTATGCATTATTATGATATGCATTATGAGCATATCTACTATAGTGACACCACACACACACTGAGTTACTGATCTGCATTGTGCGACCAGCTGCCACACATGGTGATGGCTATCACCAACTGTGACCGCTATCACTAACTATGACCTTCACTGTCAAGCAATAAAGCCCTTGCTGTGCAAGACAATACAATGTTGTTGAAGGTTAGCAAGTCAGCTCATCATCAAATAAGGCTTCACTTAGTTTCTACAACCCTGGCATTTTAGCAAGATTGCACTCTTCATCTCCATCGAAAACAATGGTGTTGCGGACCATATGACAATGTTGATCCATTCAGGCACTACTACACTATGGTATATAATCCTGTTAGCATTTTGAAAGGGGTGAGTTGCATCATTCAACCCCAACATGTCTGACTCGAGTCTCAGTTCTCTAAGCCAGTGTCCTTCTTGCCTTATCAATGCAGACCAACACAAAATCCTTGAATATCGTTATTCTCATGCAGGCTACTGGTTCGATATGCTTCTGACTTATCCTTTCATTCATGAACCTCCAAGTCAGCTTTCACAAACTCAATTCCAAGGCCCTACCAGTATGCCTCCTCCATATTCACTCCAAGGGACACTACATAATCCTGATCATATAGTCTGTCAAGATTCAGCCACTGCGCTGTCAACTCAACGGCCACATCACCATGGTGCAAATACAGTAATTTGTAAGTACATCCACTTGTATTGCAACATAACTAGACAATATCTAACATTATGTGTGGTCAGCTGTTGCCAACATTGATATCTCAGTACCATTAAATACTGAAGTTGTAGGTGGATGTATCAGCCGTGTCCAAATCTGCCTTCCTCTCAATATTTCATTTAAAGACTTTTTTTTGCATGTTTGTGCCAAAATGGACCTGGACCCAGCAAATGCTGAACTCAGCTACAAGTTTCACAATGATCGAGTCCAAGATGCCCCTCATTGGCTCTCCAATGAACAACAGCTTCAGAAGGCATTTGAGCATGGCTGTGACCTCATCAAATGAGCTTGAAGTCGGTGAGTAGTTCTTGAAATACACAACCTGGTAAGAGAATAATTAGTGTTCAAGTATTGCCTAACAACTAACTCACTATTAGAAGCCAACTCGTCAAGCAGCAACTACCACCCATATCCGTTGTGATGAAGCTGTCAATGACAGTCAAGACCCTCCAATCCCATGAGCTTTGCCTTTGAATTGTGAGAGCTCAAGAATAAGCTAGACTATGAGAAGCTTGGAAAATTCTGCTATATCAATCCTATTAGTGGTGACCACGAAGCTCAAGACATCTATAACCTCATCCTTTGGGCAAAAAAGATAGTGGGTGACAGAAGTTCAGTGTAACAGCAATGTTTGACCGATGTATTCAAAGCTCTTGGCAGAGGCTACCTATGAGAAGCCTCCAAAGATGGCTGCCTTTGACCAGGCTTCTTCGATAGGGTTGAAAGTCAGGAGAATAAGCTGGCAAATACACAAGGCACATTCCCCTGAAGAAAGATCAATAACATTACCCAAACTAGTGACATTGAGATAACATACCTTTGCCAAATTATTTCTTCAAGATATGCCAACTTGTGTATGCTAGCATTGTCCATCACAATGACAGAATTCTTCTGTGGGAATAGGTTCATATTATCAAGTAAACCATCTATAAATTCATTGAAGATTGCAGCAGTATACAGACAGTCTTAGATATCAAGATGTAAGATGCCATCCAGTGAGATAGCTGGAAGAATAGAATATCTGAAAAGACACTCCTGTTTGCAAATTTTCGACATACCTTTGACCTCGAATGAAGTAATCACATCAATAAGTGCATGCTCCCATTTGCGACCAAGCATTTGGACACTTGGTCGTGATTCAGTTACAGGCAAATTTGTCTACAAAGACAAGCTGATTAGGACAGAAATTCTCAGCAATGAAAATTGGATATTGGTTGCATTTGTCTGTAAGTAGATAACAACAACCACTTTCCAGAGGTTTTTGAATAACGGAGCCTGTGAGTTGCAAAAGCCGAAGAACATGATTGACTATTTGATGGCTACATCCTGTCACTTGTACTATGGCCTTTGATGTCATGCCATGTGTGAACATGGTGACCTACTGCTGTTTCACAGCATCTGGTATATGTTGATGGTTTCTGTTCATGATGATGATGGCTAGCAAATGGTTGTTGTAGTACTAATACTGAGTCAAACAAAGGTAGCTAGCATAAGTGCCTCTATTTTGTGTCACAAACAAAAGCAGCTGAATGAATTTTCTAAATTCTGATCTATTGATATGAAAACAGCTGTCATATATCATGAAATCTCTAACTAATAGGACATTTGTTCTTTATTTGACACAAATCAAGTCCTGCATAAGATAAAGACACCTTTAACAATCATCTGCTCCAAGATGGTGGTACAATTCCAAGTCCTCAACTAAACCAACCTCCTACTGTTTTATCTAACCACAATAAGCTGGGAAGGATTATGGTGCACCAAGGACCTATTAGGCAGGATATGTTGTTTGGCACATTATTTGAAAATTTTCTATACAGCTGCTATGGGCTTTTCTACAGTATGCAGTCTTTGGCAATATACAGTCTACCAGAAACTTCACACTTATCAAAGAATCTTAAATAATCTCAAATAGTTGACATCTGTATTATTTGCAAATATATAATAGAAGTCAACCTCTCTCAGGAAAGACATAATAATGAATTTGCCATTCAGTACTTCATCACCACTATATTTGCAACTATACTGCAAAATGCATGCCAATTTGACTGGAAGACTCTATTATTGTCTATTCAGCTGGAGTGGAGTTAGTGGTCTTTAATCCTATGTTTGTGCGCAAGGTAAAGCATCAGGCAATTGACCTGAGAATAACATAGTATTATAAAGCATTATCTAGCATACAATTGATATAATATCCATCATAATTGCACTCAACTTTACAAAGCTTTAAATAGTTAGACTACGCTGGGGAAAACCACCAAAGACACAATTATGACACATATTGCAAATATCTGCCATCTTTGACAAAGTTTTATAATGCCAGACAACTTCAAATAAAATTGACAAGAAATTACTAAAAAGTCTCAATCTTGATACTCATTTTATCATTTTATAAATCAAATCAAATTTTGATTGGTATTAGGGTATATACATGTAATACTGATACAGGAGAGTAGAGAGACATAATACAACAAAGACAAAAAGAAAGATGTCACCTACCTGACTCAAGGAAGAAGAGAGATACTACAAGAGAAGGCCAAGGAGGAGTCATGGAGGACCAGGGAGGAGAAGAACCAGGAAGGGACCAGGAAGGACCAAGGAGGGACCAGGAAGGAGGAGGGCCAGGGAGAAACCAGAGAGGACCAAGGAGGGGCCAGGGAGGAGCCATGGAGGACCAGGGAGGAGGAAAAACCACCATAGAGGGCCAGAGATACCAGGGCCATAAGGAGATAACAAGGGAGAGAAGAGGTATTGGCTTGAAGAGCCAGAGGTGAGTGTAGTGAAACAAGAGAAGACAAGTGTCGAAGTTGGTGAAAACTTTCAAACTCAGACTTACCTAAGCATTTGTCATGTGACATGGCTAATACAATATCTCTTATATAATTTAGTGGATTTTTGATCTGATTTTACCAATTATATCCGGTCATATCAAGTTCGGATTAATTTCCTGATGAGTGTCTTAGAGTGATCAAGTTCACTTGATTTAACTTAAAACTGTGGCTTCCATGTCAATATATCCTCTTCTCACACGACCTTCTTTCAACCTAGGGGCTCTCCTCTCTTTTATGCCTCTATCAACTCCAATAACACCGCATTTCTGGATAGTACCACCTGTCCTATGACTACTGAGCTTGCTTACCCAGCTTCTACATGTCCTATGGACATCGCCCTCTGACATAAACAACTCACTCATCACCACATAGCTGGTGTCAGGACACTTATCAACTGTAATCTGCTCACTGAACTTAGGCTGGACTCAAGGGTATCACCAGATCCTATCTGCAAGCCTTGCCTTGCTGGTAAAATGTATGCTAACCTCTTCTCTCCTAGTGAGTGGAGGGCAAGCTATCTGTGTCACATTTATTGATGACTGACTATTTGTGTTACTATTTTGTTCTGTCCATCAAGGCCAAGTCATACATCTTTGATATATTCAAGATATTCAAGGTTTATGCCTCAGTGAGAACCAGCCTGAGCACAAACTCAAGCAAGGGGGCAATCACTGGAACAAGAAGATGAGAGCTATGCTTGAGTCTATTGGATTTAGGTAGACGTACTGGGATACAGTAATATATGTCTATTCTCAAGGTGAAGACTGCATCATTCTGCCTGTCTTTGTGGATGACATGACATTTGTATTCAAATCCCTCACTGCTATTAGTCAAATCATCTCTTAGCTTTCTCAGCACTTCAAACTTTGTGCCTTTAGCCCCACCACTCAACTTCTTGATATCAAGATACATACATGCATTACTAGACTGACAATTGAGACTGGGTGCAAATAATTACCTCTGAGGCTTTGAACTCTATCATAATACCCGCCACAGATCAAACATAGATTGTGATTAGTCCACCAGATCTTGAGCCTAAGAATTTACCCTGAGAATGGCTTGATACCAATATGTAGGAATTTAAGCTAGCAACTCAACCTAGGAACGACCTAGGGAGGTCAGGAAGTCATGTATATAGGTAGTAATGCATACTATAGAGGTGAATAATCATATCACTAATATTGAATGCACTTATTTTCGGGAGGTGAGATCGCTTGACCAGTGCTCGACACCCCCGAGGCATTGGATAGGGAAAGTTGCATGTAGGAAGTAGGACTTTGACAGTATTCTGTCTGGACTTAAAGATCTACATAGCCCTTGTACTTGCTGTGCTTGATCCTCACCCATGCCAGGTTGGGAAGAGTGCTTTGTGATCATTCGACTGCTCCACGTTCTTCATCTGTGATGCAACTGTACTTTTTGATCATAGTGTAAAGCGAGAGAGGCAGAGAATCTGTAATGGTTTTGGGGCTGTCTGCAACAATGTAAAGTTGGCCTGCTATCCAAGCTGACAAGGTAACAAGAAAATTTTTCTTCCGAAGATAGTCAGCAATACATTTTGTGACAGTTCCTATAATGCACTGAGTGAGTGATATACTATGGGACTCAAGAGAAACATACTTTGAACATCAAGCAGATACATCCTGCTTTTGGGAGCTCTGTGGGTACGATCCTTGCAGCTTTGTGATAAGCTTTGTGAATTCTGCTCGAACCAACTGGCCATGTCATCAAAGGTTACAGCCAACCTTTGTGTTGCCAATGGCCCTTGCATTCACATAACCTTCACCAACCACACAGATGTTCCATCCCCATCCTCATCCTCATCTCCCTCCTCATCTCCATCTTTGTACTCGTCATCCTCGTCAGCCTCATCAAGTATATACATATTTTTTTAAGCTATATTTGTTGTTTAGTGTATGAAATTATCAGCCATGAAATTTACTTGCTTTGTAGGGCTTATGCGATTTGTTAATGTGTGAGCCTGATAAATGATTGTCCATCCTCGATGTAGATATGTGCATGGACATTTTTTCTGGTGGATCCGGTATGTATGTTCTCCATAGTCACTTCAGTCAACCACTTGAAAAGACCTCTTAGGTCTATGATATTGTGGCTAGCAAAGGACCTAGTGGGTGTGCTTTAGGATGGTATTCCCAATAATTTAACCTACATACTGGGATGTCCCAGACCACACTGGACCAAGTATCTGGGCTATCCCTAGTGCCTATTTGTGATCTTTCCCAATCCCATCTGGGATCAATTTAGCATTTCTCCAGGACATCCCTGTGCATCTATTGTATGGGCTTTCCCATCATAAATAAGAGTGACAGGGGTTCATTTTGAAACATTTTGGTACATCGAAATATGCAATTTGTACATTGATTGGAACAAGAAGTGTGCATATCTAACAATTGAACAATAGGATGCCACAATAGCAAAGAGAAGATACCTATGTTTTCTTATTAAAATCACATTAAAAAATTGACATGATGGAATTATACAAAAGTCTACATAGAATTATGGGACATTTTTTAGGCACCCCATAAGGCAAACTAAGGGAGGCAAATTCCCTCAAAATAATAGTATTGGCACAAATATATGGACTGTCCTACTGACCCTCTCTACATCAGCTACTGTATCAATGCAATCAATTTGATGGCCTACTGTGACTATGACCTTGTACACTGATTTTGCAATACCATATTTTTCAACATTTTATCACAGCTATATGAAATGAAATAGAGCTCCAAAAGACTACAGAAAAATATTGTACATTAAAAAATACGAAAAGTTTAAACTCAGAGACATATTTTACGTCTGTTCAGTAGCAACATTATTTCAAGATCATCACTATCCGGGCTCTCCCACCTGGCCTACCATCAGTATCTGGGCTTTCCCATTTGGCTTTTGATCAACATCTGGGCTTTCCCACCTACCATATCATCACCATCTGGGCTCTCCCACCTGACCTTCCATCACCATTTGGGCTTTCCCACCTATGATCACCTTACCATCTGGGCTCTCCCACCTATGATCTCCATACCATCTGGGCTCTCCCGCCTGGCCTTTCATGAGTATCTGGGCTTTCCCACCTATGATCTCCATACCATCTGGGCTCTCCCACCTGGCAATCCATGAGTATCTGGGCTCTCCCACCTGGCCTTTCCACCCACATGCATATGCAATGAAATAGAGAAGCTTTACTTGTGAGTTAGAAGAGAAAGCAGGGAAACTTCAGCCAAGCAAAATTAATATTTGTGCGGTGAAATGCATATGCAATGAAATGGGGAAGCTTTACTTGTGAGTTAGAAGAGAAAGGGGGGATACTTCAGCCAAGCAAAATCAATGTTTATGGGTATGCGATGAAATGAGGAAGCTTTACTTGTGAGTTAGAAGAGACAGGGGCAATACTCCAGCCAAGCAAAATCAATGTTTATGGGTATGCGATGACATGAGGAAGCTTTACTTGTGAGTTAGAAGAGAAAGGAGGGATACTCCAGCCAAGCAAAATCAATATTTATAGGTATGCGATGAAATGGGGAAGCTTTACTTGTGAGTTAGATGGTCAATACAGTTACTATAGTCATTTTTGATCTACTAACTCGAGTACTACAAACTAAATCTGACATGTTTTGATGGGCTATTTATTACTGAGTCATCAACTATGTAGTCATCCTCGATGTCATGCACTTCTTGCCCTCTATACTGATCTGCTAATGCAATATCTTCTAAGACATCCATAAGCTCCTCATCGCCACATCCAAGGTCAGATTCTCAATCATCTCAATCCTCCCCTCGATCATCTCCATCATCATTAGCATCAGGGCACACCACGTGTGTCCCATTAGGAAGTTCAGTGCGTGACGGTCCCCAGCTGTCAGGCATAGGCCACGCACATGGAATGGGATGAACCTTCATCTGCCACCCAAGTACAAGGGTAACGAAATGTTGAGCACGACGATCCATGTGATAGACAAGTACTTGATCATGACCTTCGAAAGTCAGAATGGAATGTTAGTTAGGTGCGAAAAAATGTACTTGCATGTGCGCGGGCTCTCTGTAGAGCATCCCACTCAACAATGGCCCACTCTTGCAGAGCACAGCGCTCAACCTTCACACAAGACTCTTCCTTGTTGCACCGGTCAATCTCGAGCACCAGTTTGATTGCAGCGCGAGTGTCCTCATCAGCTAACCAATCAGGGGGTTCCAGCACATCATCATCGAGTCCGATGTCCTGCCAAATGTCAGCATCAATATCAAGATCGAAAATACCAGCAGGAGAGATAGGGTTGGGTGCTATGACATTGGGAGGACTACAGCATTGTCTGATGAGAGCACTAAGGTCCGCGCATAGGCCATTGTACAAAGAAACAAGTTTTCGTATCGTAGGATTGCGTCGCTGGATGGCAGTATCAACATGAGAATAAAGCTTGTGCTCTGTGACAAGAAAGTGCAATCAGTTGGGAGTCCATGTGTGCAACTTAGAACATAAGTACCATTCACCGCTTGCCTATATGAGCGCTTGAGCTTCTCAATCTTGAACTTGCGCTGTCAAAGTCGTTCGCGGATACGTGTCTTAAGAGCTTGAGCATCTAAAGAAATAAGACTGGACGTAGAAGAGACAGCATTCTTTCATCCCCTTCCATATGTCGTGCTCACGTCCGGTAGCATCGAGAGGCTGATCGAGGGACTTGGGAAAGTGCTCCCACGTTGACAACACCTTACGGAAACTTTCAAAGTATGGCAAAGCAGCGTCGAAAGATGGCGCATTAAGTCCGTCATTCTCTTGAGGAAAGTCCCTGTTCCAAACTCTCAATGACTTTGATGGGAAAATACTACGAAGAAGTTCCATCCTTTCCTTCCTCGCCTCCTTGTCCTTACGTGCATCGCACCCAAGATGTTCATCAAGGTCAAGAAGTTCATATTGGAAGCTTTGCTCACAGATTTCGTACACGATTTGACGTACGAGATCTGCGGGGGGATTGTCGAGCATGGAGATAGCTATGTCCTTTTTGCGCCAATGAACATTTGTAGGTCCTGTCCACAAGGCCCGCAGTACTGTGACTTCCTTTGGAAAGAGCATAGCAGTAGTTGCTTTCGACCTGCTGGTCTTACCAAATATCTGAGTGTTAGAAGGATCCTGAGTGTGCTGAGATATCAAAACATCGCGCCAGTTCTGGGCCCGAGGAAGAGGGCGAGGGCTTTCCTCGTAGACACGTTCCAGCCAGGTTGGGCGGCATGCCAGCCAGTTGGCAAGGTACTTCATCAATGATTGCGGGGAAAGAACATTGACGAACAATCCCGGATCGGGAAGCGAGTAACCGTCGTCCATTTGGTCCCTGGGATGCTTGATGCGGAGGAATTCTTTCTTGGCTTCCTCCAAAGCTATCTTGAAGAAAGAATTCATAGGTGGCATGTAAGGGTGATCTATGTTAGACCATTTATCGCAGCCAGATGCAGCTTTGTTCTGACGAGGAGCGGTTATATTGTCTGAGGAATAAATTAGACACGGCAGCCATGAAAGAAGACGGCTGAACATACACGGCGCAAGCTTTACTTTCATTTTCGCCTTCCCTTTGTGTACGGGAGCCTTTCCTACCAATGACTCCGTCATGACCAATTCAACTTGAGGTTTTGGAGCGGGCAACTTCTCAAAGTTGGAATACGGCTGACGCGCGGCCTCATGATGCTGGCAATTACTCGGACCTCTAGCAATGATGTTGAAGGGCTGAGCAAAGAGTTTGAGGGGATCATGATACATGCCGATGACAAGGTCATCGGGTGGTGTGAACGAGACAACTTTAACAATGTTCATATTTGAGGGGATGAGTCTAGCATCGCGAATAAGCCAGACAGGAACTCCAGCAGCATGTACCTTTGTGGCGATAGCGACGTCTTGAGTGAAACACCCCATCCATTTAGGGTCAACCTTATGGGTAGTGTCGACGAATCGCATGCGGGGCTCGATTACTTCGTAGAAGTCTAGAACCGCCCAGATATCAAGAAATCGGCGCTGATATTCAGCAACGACAATGACAATGTCGCGCCAGGCCATAGCTTGCTGGAAGTGCTCATAGACGGCATGCATCACATGCACCCACCCAACAACATGATCCTCTTTATGCATCCTTGCGATCTTGTAGCTGCTAACCCACTTGTTGGCCTTCTCGTACAATCGCTTGAGATGGCCGAGAATGTCCGTCTTGAGCTGACCAAAAAGACTACCCGCAGCCAGGGGCACGAAGTCGCTTGAGAAATTTGCCCTGAACCACGCATATGTCATGCTTGCGTCGTCCAGATAGGCTTCCCGGCGTGGGATTGCGAAACTTCGAGCGTACAGGTCATTGTACATCTGTGGCCACTGAAAAGGATCCATGGCCCAATATCTGCCATCTGCCCGCACTTGAATTATATCGGATTCGTTGTCGAAAGGTTGAGGAATGAACTTCATGTTAGGAGTGGTGATGACTCGGTGGCCATATGTAGCCACACAGAAGGCATCGGTAGCTGTGAGATAACCTGGACATAATCAGTCAAGGACAGTAGAAGTACAAAGATGCCAAAACACACAGTCGCCAAAATGCGTGAATGGTTTGAACACAGGGATCGACATGACGGGAGCTCCAGGAACAGCGATACTGAGGATAGGGAATCACACAGCAACTCGAAGTCACTAAGGAATGAAATTTAAATCACACAACGACTCGAAGTCACTGATGATTTAAATGCTACCACGAAGGCAGATAGTGAGATGGTGTTGAGAGATTGAAGAGAAATCTAATGAAGGCGTGATGTCAGTAAGTATAGCACGAACAAATATAATGAATAAGCTTACAATGAAGGAAGACGGGATTCTTGAGCGAAGTTGAGATTCTAGTTAGAGGATAGATGATGTCATGATATGGTGATGAAATAGAATGAATGTGCTTACCCACAAAAGCCGACAGCAGTCTTAAACAAATTCTGGATGTCAGTAAGAGCATTAAAGGATCAGTCAAGTGAGACAGAAAGTTGTGAGACAGAAAGTTGGAGATAGTTCAGGCGGCTGAGGATAGTTCAGGCGGTCAAAGACAATTGCGCGGTTGAAAAGAATTCTGACGGCTTAAGACAGTTCTGGGTGTGGAAAACAATGCTGGTTGTGGAAGACAATTCTTGCTGTAGAAAACAATGCTGGTGGTGGAAGCGAGATACTGCCAGTGGAGGACAAGATATTGCCGGTGGAAGACGAGACTGCCGACCGAAGTTTAAGCAATCGATCGCAGCAAGCAACACGAAGTTACTGCTCACGGTGCATCTACCACGAAGGTAGACTATAGAGGTCGGGGGGCGCGAACCGTGATGGGGGATGAAGCTAAGTTGGGTAGTGAGCGAGGTGAACGATGAGGAAAAGGAGGTTGGGGATTAAAGTGTGAAGTCCACGCTTCGAATCACTGTGGGAAAGCCCGTGCCCAGTCCGGAAAAGCCCAGGTCAAGGCCTGGGAAAGCCCGTGTTTCAACTTCCAATTTTGACAATCTTAATACTAATTATGGAACCTGTCGCCCATAATACACTCATCACATCCTCATCGTTTACCCCCATCACTACCTCAGTGTTTGCCCCCATCTGTACCTCAACACCTTGCCTCATCGCCTAGTCTGCCTTCGAGGCAGACACACTTTACCTGGGTGACTTCGCGTCATCCAGCACTACCTGGCTGTCTGACTACGAGTCAGATGGTCCTACCTACCTCAATACAGCTCAAACACCGAACTCGTTACTTCACTCATATCCATCCATCCTTTCAGGTGCGTGTCTAACTGGTTTGATTATAATTTATTGTTTACAGGAATTTCGAACTCGTCGGGTACTTTGTATTCTAACTACTAATCAGTACGTCCTCCCCCCATCTTGTGTTATTCTAGTTGGCAAATTCTTCTTACAACAGATAATCAATGGTCGGGCTATGCAAAAGGTGGGACCCGCTAACTATACTTGTTTGGGAAGTGGAGAAGGTGAACTCAAGTAAGTCTGATCTTCTTCACGCTAGCTTTTTGACAATCTTAATACTAATTCCTACTTAGTATGGAACTTGTCGCCCATTATCTACTCATCACATCCTCATCGTTTACCCCCATCACTACCTTAGTGTTTGCCTCCATCTGTACCTCAACACCTGGCCTCATCGCATAGTCTGCCTTTGAGGCAGACACACTTTACCTGGGTGACCTCGCATCATCCAGCGCTACCTGGCTGTCTGACTACGAGTCAGATGGTCCTACCTACCTTAATACAGCTCAAACACCGAACTCGTTACTTCGCCCATATCCATTCATCCTCTCTAGTTGCGCCATAGCGACAATCATACATTGAAGAAGTTTAGTACCGCCACGTTCATTCACCAAAGATTCTCATCTTTCCCCCTCACCCATTTGGACTCTCGTTTTTTTTTTTGCGTAAGCTTCGAAGCTTGGTTAATGTGAACCTTCTGCAATAAGTTAGTAGTGATCCTTTGCGGTGAATATTGCATTACTGAGTACTCTAATGACGTTGTTTCAATGTAACTCTTTTTGTTTCAGTGTCGATTGGGCGGATTATAGCTATTGAGTTTGTTTCGTTCTCGATGTTTATTGAGCGCCTTACGATCAGTTAAAATTCCCGATGTTCGTGTTTTTCTGCCAATAATCTTTCTTCTTCTGACTCGCAATCAGCTCAGTCTCCTGTACTCTTCCATCGTACTCTCAAGACTTCGAGTCTTGAAAAATTGCTGTGAGACTTTGTGTTTTACAAGCTGCTTGCTTTTAACATTCGTATTAAAAGCACAGCTTTTCCCAATATCAAGTCCGTCTACGTTTTAATGGCGCCCTCCACCAGAAATGCAGCCCGTCGTAGTGCAACTAATACTGGCAATCAAGTCCCCATAGTGTCCAGCAGCTATGTCATGCACACACGCAGTGGTGTTGCTATCAACCCCCCAACCAAGCAGATTAATAAACGAAAAAGAAGCGGTATCCTTCAACCCTCTCCTGTTCCGGGTGACCCTGCCCGCCCAAAACCTCGCCCTCTACCCTGATGTTCCTCGAGCATGTCATTCGATGACTACGCTCAGATCCTTGCTCGCCCTCGCAGGCAAAATGTAAATTCTTCAGTGGGCTCAGTCTCTTCCATCCAGTTGCAAAGCGACGGTGCTCCAGGTAATGATCCACTCTTCACTAAAATAAGTACACTTACCTCTTTCATAGACGCATCTGACACCGACAATGACCTGCTGGCTGTGGACTCTCGCATGGATGAAGATCATGACATGGACGGCGTTAGTGACGACGATGTCCATGACGATAATGGTCACGAAGACCATGAATACGGCCAGTCTAACGAAGACCATGATGGGGATGTTGAGGACTCCGTACGTGCAAAGACACCACTAGGTATGTTATATCTGGTTTAATCACCGGCTGTGAAGGCTGATGGTTGTGACCACGAAGACGATGTAGAAGGTGATAGTCACAATGACAACGACGCCAAGGACACCGATGAGGGATCTGAGCATGACGAGAATAACGAAGACCTCGAATGTGCAAAGACTTCGCCAGATATGTACTGTCTAATCTTTCTCTTGGTGGGGAGGGCTGATAGTTATCTGTTCTATTGTAGCAAGGAGACTTCGGCCCCGAAAGTTCAAGGCCCACTACAATTTCAATGATGGTTCTCGGACCTCTTCATCGGATAGTAGCTATACTTCTTCCCAGGCAAATCGTGAAGACCCCGCCACATCTAATCAAGCTTATGCCCACGAGTCAGATGCAGATGAAGACCTGGAGCACGATCACAACAACGATCACCACAGTCTATCGTCGCCGCCTCCTAAGCGCAGGAAGACGTCTTCGCTAGTCAAAAATACCTCGGCCAACACTTCTCAGAACGCAATTCGCTCGACAACCATTCGCACCAAGCATGCTCATACGTCACGTTCAAGTGACAACCCCACTCCAGCTAGTATAGTTTTTGGCCCTACATCAGACAACAGCGCCAGTGAGAATGAAGAAGAACTCCCAGGCCATTTAAAGCGAGGCCAGCTATGTCAGGAGGGCATCGATGAGGCTCAGGAGCTTGGACAGCAAACAGCTGAAGAAGCTCGGGTCATTGGTGTCAAATACGGCAAGTCCATGCGCAGTATTCTCATTGAGGCTGGCCTGTCCATCAAGCATTCACGATCAGAGTCTGATTGGAACACCCACCAATGCTGGTTCATGGATAATCACTCTCACGAGGACAAAGAATGTCAGTCCCCATTTCCGTGGTGTACATGATGCTAACTCGAGAGTCTCAGCCATCGTTGACTGGAAAGAACACCAATGCAAACATTATCATGCAATGGCCAAGGAGAGTGAACAGTGGGACACAATTCGCAACTATAGTATTACTGGCGGCAATACCAAACAATCACGTGCCAAGACCATCTTGTCAATGAGGGAGGATATCGCAAGAAAGGTACATCTACCTCATGTGCACATTCTAGGTTATAACTAGTGACTCGATATAGTTGTCTGCATATTCTTGTCTCGAAGGAGTAGAAGCTATCGGCTGTATATTCGATACAACACAAGACGAGGCTGCTCGACAGGCTTCCGGCTTTGTTGCAGGCTCCGACTTCATAGTCAAGTTGATCAATGAGCATCAACTGGACACTCGCGCAATATTAGATTGGGTTGTAACCGCAACGAAGTATGTCTTATTCTTCTGAACTTTTTCTGCCTCCTGACTTGTCCACAGAGCAAAAGGCTACAATATATCCGTACCGCAGTTTATGGGGGGAGTAGGGGCCTATGAGATTCTACTTTCAAAGCCAAACAAGGCTCCCCGTGACCATTACAGAAGGATATGGCCAATTATGGTACTTGAGAACACTTGTAAGTGCCCAGGCTTGTGCACATTCAACGATGACCGGTGTCTGCTTAAATAGCGAAGTTTGGGTATCGACCCAAAGCAGTTCAGTGGCGGAAG